AATGATCACTTATTCCTCAACAGCTACGGTCTGGGGATATCAGATTCACAACGAAGGAACCTTTTTGGGTGAAGCTGCAAAACGGTCGAATCAACACTGAAGCTAAGTATATTTCATTTATGTCTTTAAATATATACTTAGCTGGTAGTAATTCCCCAGAACAGTGAAAGTAACAGAATGCTCCACTTTAAAATGTTGGTGCTTTTTTATCACACTCACACTGCTGTACCACTTGGTATTATATTACATGTACTCCACCCCTACTTGTATAAATTTTTGTAAATACAGTGGTCCCTCGCTTTTCGTAGTTCCCGGCAATCGTAAATTTTGCCAATCATAGGGTTATTTTCGTATAAACATGGACTCGCTTTTTATAAGTTGACTTGCGAGTCGTAATTCGTCCCGGACGCGTACCCACGGCGTGAGCCATGGCGGCAGCCAGTCTGGCATTGTTTACCAGTGAGCGAAGGTCCCCTCACGTGCTCCAGCGAAATATTTCATAATATTCCATTTATTTTAGTGCTTGCAAGTACTAAATAAGCTACCATGGCTCCAAAGAAAGCTCCTAGTGCCAAGCCTGTGGTAAAGAAGGTGAGAAATACGATTGAATTTAAGAAAACCATCATTGAACAATATGAAAGTGGTACAAGTGTGGCCGAACTGTCCAGGATGTATAAGAAACCCTACACAACCTTACGTTCCATAGTGGCCAGGAAAAAGGAAATCAAGGAAGCTGTTGTTGCAAAGGGGGTAACTTTATTTTTTTATTTTTATTATCACACTGGCTCATTCCCACCAAGGCAGGGTGGCCCGAAAAAGAAAAACTTTCATCATTTACTCCATCACTGTCTTGCTTTACACTACAGTTTTTAAACTGCAACATTAACACCCCTCCTTCAGAGTGCAGGCACTGTACTTCCCATCTCCAGGACTCAAGTCCGGCCTGCCGGTTTCCCTGAACCCCTTCATAAATGTTACTTTGCTCACACTTCAACAGCACATCAAGTATTAAAAACCATTTGTCTCCATTCACTCCTACCAAACACGCTCACGCATGCCTGCTGGAAGTTCAAGCCCCTCGCACACAAAACCTCCTTTACCCCCTCCCTCCAACCTTTCCTAGGCCGACCCCTACCCCGCCTTCCTTCCACTACAGACTGATACACTCTTGAAGTCACTCTGTTTTGCTCCATTCTCTCTACATGTCCGAACCACCTCAACAACCCTTCCTCAGCCCTCTGGACAACAGTTTTGGTAATCCCACACCTCCTCCTAACTTCCAAACTACGAATTCTCTGCATTATATTCACACCACACATTGCCCTCAGACATGACATCTCCACTGCCTCCAGCCTTCTCCTCACTGCAACATTCATCACCCATGCTTCACACCCATATAAGAGCGTTGGTAAAACTATACTCTCATACTTCCCCTCTTTGCCTCCAAGGACAAAGTTCTTTGTCTCCATAGACTCCTAAGTGCACCACTCACCCTTTTCCCCCTCATCAATTCTATGATTCACCTCATCTTTCATAGACCCATCCGCTGACATGTCCACTCCCAAATATCTGAATACATTCACCTCCTCCATACTCTCTCCCTCCAATCTGATATCCAATCTTTCATCACCTAATCTTTTTGTTATCCTCATAACCTTACTCTTTCCTGTAATTCACTTTAATTTTCTTCTTTTGCACACCCTACCAAATTCATCCACCAATCACTGCAACTTCTCTTCAGAATCTCCCAAGAGCACAGTGTCATCAGCAAAGAGCAACTGTGACAACTCCCACTTTATGTGTGATTCTTTATCTTTTAACTCCACGCCTCTTGCCAAGACCCTCGCATTTACTTCCTCTTACAACCCCATCAATAAATATATTAAACAACCACGGTGACATCACACATCCTTGTCTAAGGCCTACTTTTACTGGGAAATAATTTCCCTCTTTCCTACATACTCTAACTTGAGCCTCACTATCCTCGTAAAAACTCTTCACTGCTTTCAGTAACCTACCTCCTACACCATACACCTGCAACATCTGCCACACTGCCCCCCTATCCACCCTGTCATACGCCTTTTCCAAATCCATAAATGCCACAAAGACCTCTTTAGCCTTAGCTAAATACTGTTCACTTATATGTTTCACTGTAAACACCTGGTCCACACACCCCCCCTACCTTTCCTAAAGCCTCCTTGTTCATCTGTTATCCTATTCTCCGTCTTACTCTTAATTCTTTCAATAATAACTCTACCATACACTTTACCAGGTATACTCAACAGACTTATCCCCCTATGCTGACAAAAATGAGATCACCAGTACTCGAAGAGGTTGAGAAGTTATTATTGGTGTGGATAAATGAGAAACAATTAGCAGGAGATACTTTTATGGCTTCGATTATTTGTGAAAAGGCTAGGCAGTTGCATGAAGATTTGGTAAAGAAATTGCCTGCAAATAGTGGTGATGTGAGTGAATTTAAGGCCAGCAAAGGCTGGTTTGAGAGATTTAAGAACCGTACTGGCATACACAGTGTGGTAAGGCATGGTGAGGCTGCCAGTTCGGACCACAAGGCGGCTGAAAAATATGTGCATGAATTCCAGGAGTACATAGAGGCTGAAGGACTGAAACCTGAACAAGTGTTCAATTGTGATGAAACAGGCCTCTTCTGGAAGAAAATGCCAAAGAGGACCTTCATTACATAAGAGGAAAAGGCAATGCCAGGACACAAGCCTATGAAAGACAGGCTGACGCTAATGTTCTGTGCTAATGCTAGTGGGGATTTCAAAGTGAAGCCATTACTAGTGTACCATTCAGAAAATCCCAGAGTGTTCAGGAAAAACAATGTTATGAAGAGTAAATTGTGTGTGTTTTTGGAAATCTAAATAGTAAGGCATGGGTCACGAGGGAAATTTTTCGTCGAGTGGTTCAATGAAGTGTTTGGCCCTAGTGTGAAGGAGTATCTCCTGGAAAAGAAATTGGATCTCAAGTGCCTGCTAGTAATGGACAATGCACCTGCTCATCCTCCAAACTTGGATGACCTAATTTTCGAGGAGTTTGGGTTCATCACAGTAAAGTTCTTGCCCCCGAATACCACTCCTCTCCTCCAGCCCATGGACCAGCAGGTCATTGCAAACTTTAAAAAACTCTACATAAAAGCAATGTTTCACAGGTGCTTGACTGTGACCACAGACACTCACTTGACCCTAAGGGAATTTTGGAGAGAACACTTCAGAATCCTCCATTGCATAACCCTTATAGGTATGGCTTGGGAGGGAGTGACTACCAGGACTTTGAACTCTGCCTGGAGAAAATTGTGGCCAGATTGTGTCGACAAGAGGGATTTTGAAGGTTTTGGGACTGACCCTGATGAGCCTATGTCTGTTGTAAAATTAATTGTGGCACTGGGGAGTTCCATGGGGTTGGATGTGAGTTTGGAGGATGTGGAAGAATTGGTGGAAGACCACAATGAAGAGCTCACCACTGAGGAGCTGCAAGAGCTTCAGCAGGAAGAGCAACACATCGCAGCTCAGAATCTTGCTGCAGAGGAGGAAGAGAGATGGAAGAAGGTGCCTTCTTCAGAAATTAAAAGAGATTTTTACTGTGGGGTAAGATGGAAAGCTTTATGGAGAAACATCACCCTAACAAGGTTGTTGCAAGCCATATTGGCAACATGTACAGTGACAAAGTCTTGGGCCATTTTAGGGAAGTGTTAAAGAGACGCCAGAAACAGAGCTCTCTCCACAGTTATTTTGCAAGACAGGACTCCATTGACTCTCAAGGTGGTCCTAGTGGCATTAAGAAACAGAGAAGACAAGCAACCCCAGAAAAGCAATTGGTACCTGAGGTGTTGCTGGAAGGGGATTCCCCTTCCAAACTGTAAACAATCCACTCTCTCTCCTCCTCCAGTCTCCCATACACTAAGAAGAATCTCCAATAAAGGTAAGTGTTATGCTGTTAATGTTTCATTCATCATTTCCCATTGTATTGTTTATGTACTACATGTATATTTCATGTAAAAATTTTTTTTGTTTTAATACTTCTGGGTGTCAGGAACGGATTAATTGTATTTACATTATTTCTTATGGGGAAAATTGATTCGTAAATCGTAAATTTCGTTTATAGTAACGGCTCCAGGAACGGATTAATTACGAAAAACGAGGGACCGCTGTACAGTTTTCCAATTCACAGTGTAGTTCTTTTTTTAGTTCCTTTTGTTTGTATTCTCTTAGTTCTTTGTTTCTAGCTTATTATATGCAGGAGGTTCCCAGCTTACAAACAGGTTGAATTCCTGTTTTTTCGCTTTTGAAGAATTTACATTCCTGGCTCTCAATGTACAAACAAGTTGTTTGTTAAGAAAACAACAGTAGAAAGAATTGTCATGTTTCACAATTGTTCATGCTGTTGCTTGGAAATTATTAAAATTTAACTTATTTCATAGTGTCCAATTAATAAAATTTACCTGATTCCCAAGTGTCCAATTATTAAAATTTAACTGATTCCTAAGTGTCCAATTATTAAAATTTAACTGATTTCTAAGTGTCCAATTATTAAAATTTAACTGATTCCTAGGCATCGTATTTGTAAATGTAGGTGTGTGTAACTCAGAAAACTTGTAAGTGACCTTCTGTACATATGCTTGAAGCTTTTCTTTTTTTTTGGTGAACTGTTTCAAACATGGTATAGTGATTTATTCTTATCATCTGTACAGCACCCAAACATTCAAACAACCTAACTTTAAAATTTCCTTCTTTCTCATTTTAGATAACTCCCTCCATTCTATTATAACACAATATAATTTTTAAATTGTAAATACAGTATTATGCTTTATGCAATAAATTATCTTTCATGTGAAAGTAAATTTTCTTTAACCAGTTACGGCACAAAGTTAAAAATTAAATTAATGCAGAAACTGCCAGTTTATAGAATGAAGTGAAAAAACTATTACTACTTTTAAAACTATTTACTGTATAAAAAACAAAAACAGATAAGTTATTAACCTGACACACATCAGGAATAAGATGCACAAGTCTATGAGTGGACTTGGTTGTAGGGTCTGGTGGGTGAGTGAGGCGTGAGCGTTGAGAGAGCATTACGTGTGTACAAGGCGTGAGGTATTGAAAAACCAACGCCACCATCAAGTCTTCACAATTTAGCTCAACCAAGGTCCAAAACAGACTTAATGTAACTAGGCAAAGTTGCTGTAAAGAAAAAAATATCCGTTACAAAAAAAAAAAAAAGTCTCTGATAATTTAATGGTATTTCTCTTTCAGATCAGCAGTTTCTTAGTTAATTATATCCTTCAGGTTGGTAAATTAAGAAAGTAAACAGAAATTACTGAAAGAAAAATGGAGTCTAAAAAAGCAAATGAGCAAAAATTTAATGTTCCTGAGTCAAACTGATTTCTAGTCATTACCACCTAACATTTTAACAAGATATACAATATGAGGCCTAATTTATAAGAATATAGAAAGAGAAAGAAAATTAAATAAAAGCAAAAAATGTGGACTGTAATTAATGACAAAGGAAAAAAAGTGCTCTGATTGCAGGTGTAACAGATCTATTAAGACATGATGTCAATGGATTACAAAAGTTATCAATAGCAGACAAGCTAAATACTTTTCTATCATAGTAGTAATTCTGGCAAATAAGATAAATTGGTGCACTGCCTAATATACCAAAAGCATATCAGGTTCCATATAAAACAAATAGCAAATATTGCAAGGTGTCTGGTGGACTTACTGTGTTAGGTGAGTGAAGTCTTGAGATAAGAATAGTAATAATGGGAGGCTCCACAGCAGGACTGTTGGCAGAAGTGAGAAGGAACGCCAGGAACACTCTACGTAATTCAGGCTCTGTCACTGTTCGTAAGCACAGCTCCACATAAGCTGTGGCTGCTACCACCTCCCCGACAACTGACTGTTGGCATCAAAATTTTCTTGCCTTCATAATATGTTATATTAAAAGTCAACGGTAATTATCTTATAAATCAAGAACATTTTATTCACTCAATAATTAACCATAAATATCAAATATTAAAATTTTTAAACAATGTAATTAATACTGTATAGATTGTGTAAATAATGCACTCTAAAACTCTTAAAACAGTAAATACAAATAAATTATATAAATATATCTATTTTTTAAACAGTATTTATAGCATAATTCAGAATAGAGGTGCCTATTATTAATGTAAAATTAATATTTATAATGAAGACATTTCAATTTGCACATTATCATTACTAAACAAAAGATGAAATGTGTAGGGGTCATCCCAGAAAGATTTAGGAGTTGTATAGGAGGTTTTGAGTACTAGAGACTTAACATCCAGCAGGCTCTGTAGGTGAGTGTTAGATCTATGAGAGTGGGAACAAGTGGTTTTTATGGCTTCAAGTGCTGTTTGAGCACTAACATAGCAACAAATATGAAGGGAAATTGATTAGCCAGACTCGAGTCCTGGAGGTGGGAAGTACAGTGCCTGCACTCTGAAAGAGGGATGAGGATCTTGTATTCTGGAGGGTCATTTACACTAATTTGTACACACTTATGGCAAGACAGCTATTGAATGAATGATGGTGAATGTTTCCTTTTATGGGCCACCCTACCTTGGTGGGAGACTGCCAGTGTTCATATATATGTTAATTTAAAACCATCAATGATTTCCTATATTGTATTTCCTTACAATACACTATAAGCCCACATCTTACTATTTTATCAAAAGGTTAATGCAAAATCCATTGATACAAACTAAAAAAAAACTGACTTTTATAAATCAAATATGATTTTTAAAACAGCTAGCAGTTTTATGAGGGTGGTAAATAATTTTGTTGTTTTCATTAACTTTTATAATGATATAAAAGACACATGAGTATGAAGTACAGTATGTAAAATAAAGATCATAAAGAATGACTGCTAGTGTTAAATACTTTCTTATTCTCTTCACACACAGTAAACATATTCCAAACTCAAATTGTTTGAAAATTTTAAAGAATGATCAATGCCAGTCATTCTTTACACAAAATATGTGGAAATACTGGTAAACCTCACTTAATGACCGCAATGCATGATTTTTTTAATACATGACAGGTTAAAAATTGTTGTAGCACTTTACCTAATGCAAGTCTGCCAAGTAAAGCATATACACACACGCACTTCCACTCCTTTGAAAGCCAACTGCTCTGATGATCTTGCCCCTTCTTCTTCTTTCCAATAGCATCCAACTCCACACACTGCCTCAAGTCAACATTCCAACAAGCTGATCATTACTAGCAAGTGCTCTCATTTTTTTTTCTAATTTGTTTAATGAATAATTGTTCATTCTTTGTACCACATTTTTATGAAACACATGTCATTATGCGAGGATTACCTGTACATACGTATAGTAGTTCTACAGAAATAAAACAAAAATTCACTAAAATGAACTGTCTTTAAATAAGCACATGTTAAATTTATAAAATAACATCTTATAAGAACCAAGAAATTACGTTAGAAAAAATACACACAAAATTTAAATCAGAGATGTAGAAAAAATACATAATACAGTGGACCCCCGCATAACGATCACCTCCGAATGCGACCAATTATGTAAGTGCGTTTGTACGTGTATGTTTAGGGGTCTGAAATGGACTAATCTACTTCACAATATTCCTTATGGGAACAAATTCAGTCAGTACTGGCACCTGAACATACTTCTGGAGTGAAAAAATATCGTTAAACGGGGGTCCACTGTATATTATTTTAATATAGTATATATGTACTGTAGTATATTTAGTTTAATTCATCAAAGTACATTCTTCTCTTCTTATAAATATTGTATAATGAACATTTTAAAATTATGAAAGAAAAGCATGCTTCAATTTAAGCAATGAATAAATTACAAGAACTTAAGAAAACATTAATTTAAAAATTACTGTACGTTCAAAAATTCGAGCAATATTTAAACAAACTACTATTTCTACTCTAAAGACAGTTTAAATTGTTCAGTAGCACCATGTGCAAATGAGCATGGAAATAAAATGCTGTGTAGGGTAGAGACTAACTCACAGATAATGCTTTGCTACATAAGCACATGAAGCAATCAACAACAGCCTGACTGATGTCTGATCATCAACATAAAGTACATTTACATAAAATAATCCCTTTCTGTGTACCTACACAAATAATTAGTACCTAAGTACTAGTTTTAGTTTTCCCAAAATGCTCTGCATAACAAGGAACTTTCCAATGAAAATGTATAAATTATGTAATCCCTGAGTTGAATCAACACACTGCAATTTTTTTTTTTTTTTTTTGGATGGGGAGCAGACGATAAAATTTAACTCTGAAGTTGGCTTAGGCCTGGTCTGGAACCTGGCCACAGGAAGGCATTAGTCCATAAAACCATCCATACGTAAACCACAGGTAAATACTGTAATGCTGTCTGTAGGTTAGACTGTCTACCCTATATAATATTTTATTTACATACAATTTATATGTTGAATCTTTACTATGACATATTTAGGGCTCTCCAGTTTAGTCACATCTTTATACCTAAGAAGAGAGGTGCAAACCAGCAGCCAGGTTATACTGACCAGGAAAACAGGAGTGTTGTGTGCTTGAATTTCCCCATTGACTGCATCACCCTGTGAGCGCCAACAGTTGGTACCAAGTCATGTAAAAGTCCAAGAAAGCAAATAAGAGATAGGCCCAGTCACATGATCCACACAAACCCCAAACACAAAAGTGGCTGAAAGAAATGTTGGAAAAAAATTCTGTACTACTAATACTAGCAACACCATGAAGGAAAAGCCAGAAAATATCCCTTGTATATAACACATACTCCACACAAACTCTTCAGCAACTTAAGCATGACGAAGCCAATTGTTGAACAAAAACAATAATTTGAATAAGAAGCACTTATTTTATCTTTTGTATTGCTAACAGGAACTAACAAACATGAAACGTAATCTTTTAATTTTATTCTATGTTCAAAAGACAAAAAAATTACAACAAACAATATTCACAGCTAATTGCACTGACAATATTGATGATAAAACCTCATTTTACCCAATTTATATTGTAAACTCCTGCAATAAGTAATAATGTGTGTATCTAGGTTAAGGGCCGCATCCCACCTAGGTTGGTGACTGACTTTGCTTTTCTCCCCCCCCCCCACCCAAAAAAAATGCCGAGAGCCTAGTAATAAGGTGCTCATATATGCTGAGAACCAGATAATCACCAGGAGGCTGATAAGGAAAGTGTTCCATGGCATAATGCCCTGCTAACTTAGCAACATGGGTGCCAGAACATAGGTAAGTTGTACAACATTGTTCTTAAAATTGTCATTTTGTAAGGAGGGGGTTTGGGGAAACAGGGTGAATTTATTGCGAGACATTTTGAACATATCCAAATTTTTCCAATATAGTATTCACTCTGAACATCACGTTTTTAATGTGTGTGTCTATTTTCAGAATTTCAACCAATACTAAAAGAGGAATTGCTACAGCAAAAAACAAGGCAGATTAGATATAAATTAACTTTTGTGGGAGAAACAGGGCTATTAAAGTAAAAGTGACTTTGGGGATGTATGTACATTTGATATATTTGCAACACATCAAATATTCTTTTAACTTTTAAAGATAAAGATAAAGAATCACACATTAAAGTGGGAATTGTCACAGTTGCTCTTTGCTGATGACACTGTGCTCTTGGGAGATTCTGAAGAGAAGTTGCAGAGATTGGTGGATGAATTTGGTAGGGTGTGCAAAAGAAGAAAATTAAAAGTGAATACAGGAAAGAGTAAGGTTATGAGGATAACAAAAAGATTAGGTGATGAAAGATTGGATATCAAATTGGAGGGAGAGAGTATGGAGGAGGTGAATGTATTCAGATATTTGGGAGTGGACGTGTCAGCGGATGGGTCTATGAAAGATGAGGTGAATCATAGAATTGATGAGGGAAAAAGGGTGAGTGGTGCACTTAGGAGTCTGTGGAGACAAAGAACTTTGTCCTTGGAGGCAAAGAGGGGAATGTATGAGAGTATAGTTTTACCAACGCTCTTATATGGGTGTGAAGCATGGGTGATAAATGTTGCAGCGAGAAGGCTGGAGGCAGTGGAGATGTCATGTCTGAGGGCAATGTGTGGCATGAATATAATGCAGAGAATTTGTAGTTTGGAAGTTAGGAGGAGGTGCGGGATTACCAAAACTGTTGTCCAGAGGGCTGAGGAAGGGTTGTTGAGGTGGTTCGGACATGTAGAGAGAATGGAGCGAAACAGAGTGACTTCAAGAGTGTATCAGTCTGTAGTGGAAGGAAGGCGGGGTAGGGGTCGGCCTAGGAAAGGTTGGAGGGAGGGGGTAAAGGAGGTTTTGTGTTCGAGGGGCTTGGACTTCCAGCAGGCATGCGTGAGCGTGTTTGATAGGAGTGAATGGAGACAAATGGTTTTTAATACTTGACGTGCTGTTGGAGTGTGAGCAAAGTAACATTTATGAAGTTCTTGTTCTTGTTCTTGTTCAGACCAGAGCTTTGGTGAGATGGGGAAGGAAGAAGGATGGGTAAGGATGGAAATATTGGAAAAGGGTGGGAGGGGGGTGAGAGGTAGGATATAAAGGTAAGTGGCCCAACCACTTTGGTGCAATTTAAAAAGTGTACGTGAAATGATAATATATTTATTTAAGGGGTCTAAGACTAACCCATCAGAGTCACATAGATATAACAGATATATAAGTACATGACTCTGAATTGGTAGTAATTATACAGGTTGCAATTTTTTTTTTTTTTTTTTGCGATTGCACAACGGATATTTATGCGACAAGGAAGGCAATAATTTTCTGGCCAGTTTATAAAGTTCGTGACAATGGCTTCTTACAGGTGGTGTCCAGCCATAGTAAATAGCATAATTTTTACATTAGAAAGTTATATAAGATGTCTCCCTAATTGGGGGCGATGATTTTTTCAGTATACATAGAAGGGTTCTGGTGGTACCCAATCCTCTTCATCAGGGAGGTTGCTCAATATCATGGGTCGTGGGTAATCATCTTTATGAATAAAGCGACGGACCCTTTGTGGGAGAGTCATTCGTTGAGTCCTGTGAGGAGGAGTAGTGATGGTATACTCCGTGGTATTAACCACTTGTATAGGATGTTCTCTATCTGGCATGTATAGTTCTTGCATTATATAAAGTTGTTTCTTTTTTAAGGTGTCAAGGCGTACATTTATGGCAGTAATATCTTGTTGTATGTGTAAATCTGCCATTTTAACTCTGTCTCTCCTCCTGGTATCGGTGATGAAGCGAAGAGCTCTATTCTGGACCCTTGGTAACCGGAGCATGCTGGTCTTTGTTGTTAGTGACATTGGGACACAAGGGTATTCGAGTATTGGTCTTATTATCATTTTATACAGATGTTTTTTGACATGTTGAGGGGCTTGATTAAATCGAAAGAGTCTGCTAAGACCGGCTTTGGCTATGTTGATCTTTTTAGTTACATGAGATGTTGAATGGAGCAGCCTGTCGATTTCATATCCCAAAATCTTGTTAGGGTTTCTAATGGCTACAGGTGTACCTCTGATGGAGATACCTCCTTTATCTTCAATTGTTGATGCAAAACATCCTATCGTGCTAACAAGGACCTTGTCAGGATTAGTTGTAATTCTCCATTTCTTTTCCTAATTAGATGTTCGACGAAGTTCAATATTCATTTTCTCTATGACTCTCTCATACTTGTATTGTATGTTCAGGGAAACCGGCAGGCCGGACTTGAGTCCTGGAGATGGGAAGTACAGTGCCTGCACTCTGAAGGAGGGGTGTTAATGTTGCAGTTTAAAAACTGTAGTGTAAAGCACCCTTCTGGCAAGACAGTGATGGACTGAATGATGGTGAAAGTTTTTCTTTTTCGAGCCACCCTGCCTTGGTGGGAATCGGCCAGTGTGATAATAATAAAAAAAAAAAAACATCAAATATGCCCCTTAGATTTGATGTGATCATCTGTATAAACTAAAAACAAGAGGCTGTAAACTAAGAATGGCTATCTAAAGGAAAACAGCATTAATTGTGTAAGATTAAATTTACATTACAAATCCTAAATTTCTGGTAGAAACAGAATTGTAGCATACAAGCGAAATGAATATAAAGAACTCGTGTGCAGCATGGGATGCATGAACACACTTTTATCTCTTTCTTTCAACACACCGGCCGTATCCCACTGAGGAGGGGTGGCCCAAAAGGAAAAACGAAAGTTTCTCCTTTTACATTTAGTAATATATACAGGAGAAGAGGTTACTAGCCCCTTGCTCCCAGCATTTTAGTCGCCTCTTACAACGCGCATGGCTTACGGAGGAAGAATTCTGTTCCACTTCCCCATGGAGGTAAGAGGAAATAAACAAGAACAAGAACTAGAGAGAAAATAGAAGAAAACCCAGAGGGGTGTGTATATACATGTTTGTACATGTATGTGTAGTGTGACCTAAGTGTAAGTAGAAGTAGCAAGACGTACCTGAAATCTTGCATGGTTATGAGACAGAAAAAAGGACACCAGCAATCCTACCATCATGTAAAAAAATTACAGGCTTCCGTTTTACACTCACTTGGCAGGATGGTAGTACCTCCCTGGGTGGTTGCTGCTTACCAACCTACTACCTAGGACTTTTATCTCTATAGTTTCTAAATAAGAATTTGCTTCATAAATGCCATTATACTATTCAATTATCTGTACTTATTTATACACATGTTAAATAAAAAATGTGTTGTGAAAAACATATATTTCAATTAAATTCAACACAATTATCAGTGGTCTACTGGTACAGATAATTTCTCACAATCATATGAACAGTGTCTGCATTAACACTAGTCAAGTCTAGTACATTTAAGCACCAATGAATTTTTTTTTTATTATCACACTGGCCGATTCCCACCAAGGCAGGGTGGCCCGAAAAAGAAAAACTTTCACCATCATTCACTCCATCACCGTCTTGCCAGAAGGGTGCTTTACACTACAGTTAGACGGTGATGGAGTGAATGATGGTGAAAGTTTTTCTTTTTCGGGCCACCCTGCCTTGGTGGGAATCGGCCAGTGTGATAATAAAAAAAAAAAAAAAAAATTCATTGGTGCTTAAATGTACTAGACTTGACTAGTGTTAATGCAGACACTGTTCATATGATTGTGAGAGAATTATCTGTACCAGTAGACCACTGATAATTGTGTTGAATTTAATTGAAATATATGTTTTTCACAACACATTTTTTATTTAACATGTGTATAAATAAGTACAGATAATTGAATAGTATAATGGCATTTATGAAGCAAATTCTTATTTAGAAACTATAGAGATAAAAGTCCTAGGTAGTAGGTTGGTAGACAGCAACCACCCAGGGAGGTACTACCAATGAATGTGGACAGTAAATGAATTGGTGGCATCATGGGCACAACCATACCCTTGACTAGAAAGATCTTGATATCCATGGAGGTAGAAAGGGGAAGGTATGAGAGTATAAGGGTACCAACACTCTTACTTAGGTCTGAAGTATGGGCTGTGAATGCTGAAATGAGGAGAGGCAGAGGAAGTGATGCTGTGTACGAGGGCAATGTGTGGTGTAAATATTTTGCAGAGAATTTGAAGCATGGAGATCAGGGGGTGTGGAATTACAAAAAGAATTATCCAGAGGGCTGAGGAGGGGTTGATGAGGTGGTTTGAATATTTAGAGAGGATGAAGCAAAACAGGTTTACTTCTTGGAAGGTGTATATATCTGTAGTGGAGGGAAGTCGGTTTAAGGGTCACCCAAAGAAAGGTTGAATGGAGTAAAGGTGGTTTTGTGTGCAAGGGACTTGGACATCCAGCAGGGGTGTGTTAACATGTTAAATAAGAATGAATGGTGGTAAATGGTTTTTGGGATTTGACCTGGTGGATAGTGAGCAAGGTTAACATTTTGTGAAAGAATTCAGGAAAACTGGCTGAAAATACAGTGGAGGTGGAAAATACAGTGCCTGCACTCTGAAGGACGGGTGGGAATATTTGCAGCTTGGCAGGGCATCTGAACTGTGGTATTAATGAGCCTCTGGCAAGACAGTGGAGTGAATGATGGTGACAGTGTTTCTTCTTTTTTAGGTCACTCTACCTTGGTGGGAGACAGCTGGTGTGTTAAAATAAATACTGGATATAGGAAAATGAGGCTTTACTATACTGTACATACTTTATAAAAGCAAAACTAGCATACCCAATTTAAAATGTGCTAAATACAAAATAGACATAATATAAACATTTGTAATCTGACCTGGTGCAGTGCTGGACCCAAGACAGGAACAAGGAATCCTTGATACAAGAACTCCACCAACTGCTTTCTTACAAGGGGATGGGCAACCTGAGATACAAAGTAATTTTAGTACCTTCAAATTAATAATAACAGTTTAATTAATAAAATGCTCTCATGATGAAAATCCTGTGTAATACATAGTATTTTATAATCCTCCAGAATGATTCCTCTTGGGTAAATTTTTTAAGTTACGAGCAACACGATTCAATGAATACATTGCATTTGTTTTCTTTCATTAAAGATCCATCAAAAGATGAAAAACAGATAAATATGGAATCAACTGAGAATACAGCCTCTCTCCATTTAGCAACATACTCGTTTACTGACCACTTGGACTTATGACCAGCTCTCCAAGTATGCAAACCGAAGTAATGTATATTAGAGCTGTACATTACTGTATAAACATCTAAAAATATACTAAAAATGTTATAAAGTGTGCAAAGGTGACATTAAAAAAATATCTAAAGATGGTTGACACAAACACTACCCGTATGCTCCTCACTTAACAACCAATTTGCTTACCGACCAACCCTTAGGAACAGAACCCCGTTGTTAACCTTTAAACTGTCCAAACGTAGATCTACGTTCACATGTGGGGGGGCTCCGAACGTAGATTTATGTTTTTTTACATGCTTTCAAATAGGGAAAATCAGGGTCGCAGCGGTACGCACGTGAACGTAGTACTATGTTTGGACAGTTTAACCCTTTGACTGTTTTGGTCGTACATATACAGTGGTTCCTCGTTTTTCGAAGTTAATCCGTTCGTGGAGTTGCTACTATTATTGAAATCTACGATTTGCGAATCAATTTTCCCCATAAGAAATAATGTAAATACAATTAATCCGCTCCTGACACCCAGAAGTATTAAAACAAAAAATTTTTTTACATGAAATATAGATGTAGTACATAAACAATACAATGGGGAAATGATGAATGAAACATTAACAGCATAACACTTACCTTTATTGGAGATTCTTCTTAGTGTATGGGAGACTGGAGGAGGAGAGAGATTGGATTGTTTACAGTTTGGAAGGGGACTCCCCTTCCATCAACACCTCAGGTACCAATTGCTTTTCTGGGGTTGCTTCTCTTCTCTGTTTTTTAATGCCACTAGGACCACCTTGAGAGTCACTGGAGTCCTGTCTCGCAAAATAACTGTGGAGAGAGCTCTGTTTTTGGCGTCTCTTTAACACTTCCCAAAAATGGCCCAAGACTTTGTCACTGTACATGTTGCCAACATGGCTTGCAACAACCTTGTTTCTCCATAAAGCTTTCCATCTTACCCCACATAGCAAAAATCTCTTAAATTTCTGAAGAAGGCACCTTCTTCCATCTCTCTTCCTCCTCCTCTGCAGCAAGATTCTGAGCTGCAATCTGTTGCTGTTCTTAAATTCAATCGTATTTCTCACCTTCTTTACCACAGGCTTGGCACTAGGAGCTTTCTTTGGAGCCATGGTAGCTTATTTAGTACTTGCAAGCACTAAAATGAATGGAATATTATGAAATATTTCGTAGGAGCACGTGAGGGGACCTTCGCTCATTGGTAAACAATGCCAGACTGGCTGGGTAGGGAGGCTGCCCTGGCTCACACCGTGCGTATGCGTCCCGGACGAACTACTATTCGCGAGTCAACCTATGATTAGCGAGCCCATGTTTATACGAAAATATCCCTATGATTTCTGAAATCTATGATTCCCGAGAACTACGAAAAGCGAGGGACCACTGTACATCTTACGCAACCACCGTTTCTGACATATTTATATGCGTAAATTCTAGCAGCTTCAAATCAAGCAGGAGAAAGCTGGTAGGCCCACATGTGAGAGAATGGGTCTGTGTGGTCAGTGTGCATCACATAAAAAAAATCCTGCAGCACACAGTGCGTAATGAGAGAAAAAAAAACTGACCGTTTTTTGGATTAAAACGCCGAATTTGAGGTGTATTTTCGTATAGTATTTATCGTTGTATTCTCGTTTTCAGGGTCTCAGGTGATAAAATGGAAAACATATTACAGAAATAGAGATGATTCTGATTACTTTCACGATGAAAACGACCTTGAAATTGAGCTCTAAGTAGCAGAAATGCTCGATTTTTACCAATGTTCAGGAGTAAGCAAATCACACCACACGTCCAATACACTTCAACTGGAGAGTCTAACATTCTTTCACTAGTGCACTGGTTACAATAATGCAGTAGTCTGCATAACAGAATAAAAAATCAAAACAGAAAGCAATAGTAATATAAGAGGGGCCTAGAGACGTGACTAATGAACAGAGGATATGTTATTTTAGTGCCAAGAATGTCTACATTGTTTATTCTAGACCCTATTTTGAAACTGGCATCTTTTTTAATTTGCGTGAAATTGGCCAAATTGCCAATTTCTGACCACTTTATTTGGTAGTTCAAATCAGTAAATGGGCGGTTTCTTGTACTCAACAGATAGAAAAAATGGAGTTCTAAAAAAATAGCTATGAGTTTGGTCAACTGGAACAACGGAATTGGCCAAAAACAGGGCTCAAAATCGGCAAAATCGCCGATGCATAATGTCGCCGAGACTGCTAACTTCGTGGGAGCATAATTCCGTGAGTTTTCGACCAAATTTCGTACTTTTGGCGTCATTACCACCGGTAAAAGATTCTCTATCATTTCAAAAGAAAAAATAATTTATTTTTTTTTCCAAAAATTTATCAACAAAGAATGACAGTTTCAGAAAGGGGCCTGTGACAGTCAAAGGGTTAAGGGTTAAATTAGGAGAGGCTGTATGTATTTTACCTGGGATTAGCTTCAACATAAAAAAAATTAAACAAACTTAAATATTTCTAAGATGGCCATGAAAGTTGTAGAAGAGGTGAATCTCACTGAGTACAACTCAATATGGTAGATCATATAAGATTATGGTGCATTGGTAACTGATTATGGTACTGTAAGGTTAAATGAATTCAACTGTGCTATTCCAACCATACCACAACAACAGTACTGGTCACTCTAGCAGTACAGTAAACCCTCTTATAAAGCAACACCACACAGTATTATTCTGTGTATATGTGATTGAAAAAGTGCATTGCAAATAAGAAAACTTCTTAGTATGTTTTGTAAGCTTGCAAACATCAAATTACATGCAAAATTGGAGTCCAAAATTTGAATTTCATACCCCTTTTTGGTTTTTTTTTCCCTTTTTTCTCACGGTATTAACCACAAGGCCAAGGTGGCCGAAAAAGAAATGGAGGGCCAAGAAGAACAAGCAGAAGCTTTCATGGTTGCATAACAATGTTTTAAATGCAACATTACAGGCTCATCTGATGCAGACTGACCCACACTTTCATTCGAGAGAATCCCCTCCCACAAGAATTTCAAGGTCATAAAACTTGTCATGCTCCAATGTGACCATAAAGAGTAAAAGACAATTACCTTAAATCTATCAGAAACAGTTACTCATGTCTGGAATGAGAAAAAACCGCCCAAGTAAGTGCTCAAGTTAACAGGCCACAACCCTTCCTAGCTAAACACCTACTCACCACCTGTGGTAGCAGGGGTGTAAATCCTAGTTCTTGGCCCAGCCTCCAATTGCCCTTCAAGCACTTCTTCTTTGCCTTGTTATGCTAACTTACTACCCTTAGACAACAGTTTGGATGCCTGCCCATCTCTACTTGCCAAATTTCATTTCTCAACCACGAGACTGAGCAAATACATTCCCTCATCAGACTCTCCACTGCTCCACTTTACATAAGACACCAATTATCACCAAAACTTACCCAACCATGAAGAGGGTTGGTAATATCAATATACATTTAAATTACCAATACTCCTAGAGTAAAATTTCATGTTCTAAAACCTAGTGAACATCATTTTTCCAAACAATAAATATATCCTTGATATATGTAAATGAATCGCTGCAGTTTACTCGAAAAGCTACAGTTATCTAACCTGTACAACTGCATTGCAATTCAAGAATTAGAAAACTGTAGTTGACGATATTGTATGTCTTCCATACTTAAACATTCCTCCACTGACTCCTAATTTATTTTGGACAGCATAGAAACAAACCACCAGATCTCTGCAACTTCTGATCAAATGCTAAAGTAGCAAATACAACCTTTTTATTAGGCATTTATTACAAAACCCTGTAATTAAAAGCTGCATTTGTGTTTGTTTTCCAAAATTAATTTACTAGATTATTTTGTCTACAACCCTTTCCAAAATTTTAAAAATAGAGGCCATTACAGCAAGTTTTTACCATGCGCCCTCCTACCTTTCGGATAATCCCTCTAGCCTCAACTCAAGCTTAGCTCATTCCTGAACACTCTTAAAGTTTCACTTTGACCACCTCAAAACATAGCCCATTACAAACACTTGTCTCCATTTACTCTTATCAAACCTGTCACCCTAGCCAAATCCTGGAAGTTCACAAAGACTTTAAACTTAGCTCTTTTTTTTCCTCCTACTTTCCAAACATTCCTTGGATGACCTCTACTCCTTCTACCTTTCAAACTTCATATCTCCCTGTCATCCCATCCTCTCATCTGTATACTAATAAACCACCAACAACCCTCCAAATTATACCACTTGGCTACCCCTATACTTTTGAATTTCTATGCTCTGAATTCCTGCCATAATTCAACCACAATATGTACTGTCAGTCGCTAATACTATGACCTTAACCTACATTAATAAAAACAGTGAACACTACATACATATCCCACTATCATTAAACATTTCAGAATCTTCCCATTACAAGCCCGGCTGCTTACCCCCATTCATTATACTGCCAATCGTATCCCTTTTCACACTCACAATCTCTTCCCACTCTGACAGTTTATTCATCTTGGCACTAACGCTACCATCACAGCTTCCCTATCTTCACAACATTTAACATTGCCAAAATATTCCTTCCATCTCCCAATAGACCCTAACTCTCCATTAATACCATCTCCCCCTCCTATTTTTAACTGACAAATCCTTTGTTCCTAGGCTTTCTTAAATTTTTAATCTCATTCCCAAAAATTTTTCTTATTTTCAACAAAATTTTTTGATAACATCTCACCCACCTCCATTTGCTCTCTTTTTTTCATGCTTCACCACTCCTAACTTCCTCTTTTTTTCCATACTCTTCCCCCTTCACACCTCTACTTTGTAAAAACTTTTCATATGCAACTTTTCTCCCTTCTACTCTCTTTTCATCACATTCCCCCAAAACGCTCCCCTTCCCCCCTGCACCCACTTTCCTTAACCACAAACTTTTGCTGAACACCTAAAACTACATTTTTAAAACCTAAACCCCCTACCTCTTCGCCCCATTGCCTATGCCTCATTTGCCCATCTATCCCCAATAGCTTTTATATCTTTCCCAACGCCCCCCTTTTTTTTATAAAACCCCACCTCCTCTTCCCTGGATGCTTCTATTTTCCTTTATCCCATCTACCTTTTACTCCATGACTACAACTGAAAGGACTATAAATCTTTGGGCCCCTCAAAACATGTACATCCTGAAGTCTACTCAAAAGTCTTTTTTTCTACCCAAAACTAATCCAACAAAAATACTGTCATTTCCCCTACATCTATCGGTATACTTTTTTTATCCCTTTTTCTTTAAAAAATTATTTCCTATAACTAAACCCCTTTTTTATACAAAATTCAATCAAAAGGGTCCCATTACATTTACCCTGGGACCCCAAACTTACCTACCACACCCTCCTAAAAATTTCTCCTACTTTAGCATTCAAGTCCCCTACCACAATTACCCCACTTGGTTTAAAGGGTCCTAACATTCCTTAAACTCCCCAAAACTCTCCTCTCCTCTGCATTTCCCCCTTCTCCCGGGGCAACACGCTTTTAGACCAACTTCTCGCACCAACCTTTTTTTAATCCACATAATTCTTGAATTTACACATTCATATTCTCTTTTTTCCCCTTTCCCTAACTGATCATTTAACATTCTGCACCCCTTCCTTTGCTCTAACCTCTCAGATACTCCCAAATTTTTCCCATTTATTTCCCCCCACTGAAACTCCCCCTACCCCCTTCAGCTTTTTTTCGCTTAGGGGGCCAGGGAAACCAACTTCTTTTCATTCATAACATCAGCAATCTCTGTTCTTTTTCATCCGCCACATCCACGCACATTTAAGCAACCCATTTTAAATTTTTTTTTCTTTTCTTTTTTTATAATTGTATACGGGGGGGAAAGGGGTTTCTAGCCCATTGCTCCCGGGGATTTTAGTCGCCTCATACGACACCAGGCTTACGGGGGAAAATTCTTTTTTTCCCCTTCCCCATGGACAATGAAAAATAAAAAAGAACAAGACTATTTAAAAAAGGGGAAAAAAACCCAGATGTAAGTAAATAATATAGCATGTGCTGTCTGTGAATGTACCAAAAGGAAAATAGAGTAGCAAGAATCCCCGTTACTTAGGTGTTTTTGAGCAGAAAAAAAAACCACAAAACCTACCCCTCAGCAAAACAGTTTCAGGTTTTTTTTTTAAAAGTCACTGGCAGAGGTAACTTCCTGGGTGGTTGCTGTCTACCAACCACACCTTCTTTTCTCTAATATTAACCAAGCCCCAAGAGGAATATGAGTGACAATGGAGGTGCCAAGAAGAATAACAGAAACTTTGATGGTATTAAAGACAGTGGAAAATTAAAAGCAAAAGGTAGTGTACATCTGGCGATGCCCACACTTTAGTTTTAGAGAATCCCCCATCCAAAATAAAAACTAAGAAATTGTGCAATAAGCATGCAATTTTACCTATGAAAGGTCAGAGATCAATACAGCTAAATATGATAAAAAATTCTTAAGTGTTGAAAGAGAAAAAAAAAGGGGGCCAAGTAAGTGCTCAAGTAATAACACAAGCCCTACCTACTAAAAACTGTACTACCAAGTGGTACAGGGGGGGAATCCTAGTTCCTGGCCCACCCTCAACTTGCCACTTACCAGAAGCACTTTTTCTTTGCCTTTTTTATAAAAGTATTACCTTAAAAAATGATGGAGTCTGCCTCCATCTCTTCTTTTCAAAGTTAAACCCTTTCTCAACCAAACCCAACGAGGGAAAAACATCCTGACATTTTTTCTCTCACATACTGCACTTTACATAAAACACCAATTATCAGAAACTTACCCCAAAGCAGAAAGGTTTTTCTGAAACAATAATCACAATTTAAATTACCAAAAACTCCAATATAAATTACAAATCGTGTGTTAAAACCGATGTTTTTAACATCAATTCCATAACTATAAAAGTATATCCTTGATAAGAAATTAATATTGTGAGAATTAGTGAGCATCTACATTAAAATAACCTTACAAATGCATTGCGAATTCCAAGGAATTTAGGAACAACGGAGTTAGGGGTATCTGCTATGTCTCCCCTACTTAAACATCCCCCCTGACTCCACTTAGTGATCGGGCAGCATGAAACAAACCACTAAGACCGCTGCTAATCCTGAAAAATAGAAAGTGTAAATACAACCTTTTTTATATTTGGTTTTTTTACAATAAACTTGTAATTTAAAAGCATCTTTGTGTTTGTTGTTTCCAAATTAATTACTGAAAGAATTTTTTCCCCAATTTTCCAAAAAACCTTAAAAAGGTCCATTAAAGAAGTTTTTTTCCATCACTGCCCCCTTTCCCACCCCCCAAGACTCATCCACTAACCGTTTTTTTTTTTGAATCCTTTCATAAAAGTTACTTTGCTCACACTCTAATAACATGCCCATTACAAACTACTTGTCTCCATTTACTCTTATCTAACGTGCTCACACAAGCCTCCTGGATGTTCATGGATTTTAAACTCTGAAGCCTCTTTTTTTTTCCCCTACTTCCAACAGTTCCTTGGATGACCTCTACTCCTTCTACTCTCAGATTTATATACTCCCCTTGTCATCCCATCCCTCTCCATCCTGTATACATGAACAAACCACCTCAACAACCCTCCAAATTATACCCTTGGCTACCCCATGCTGTCTTTTAATTTCTATGCTCTGAATTCTCTGCATAATGTTCACACCACAATAATACTGTACAGTACGGTAGATACATATAGACATAACGTACATACATAAATATACAGTGCATACATGTGCATGCATGCATACACATGTATCATTAAATCCATTCTCAACTGAAGCAGGTGGACTTACAGCGAACCCTCGGTTATCGGCCATTCAGGATATCGGCCAATTCAGTTATTGCCCGGTTTTTTAGTCAAAATTTTATCCCAGTTCTTGGCCGTTATTTCAATTATTGGTCATAGTGGACGCGTCCACTCGTAGCAAAGTACGAAAGTGAAGGAGGAAGAGAGAGGGGAGAATGTGCCTTCTTCAGAGATTCAGTGATTCTACGATATGTACGATACTAAAGCTGTCAGTAGGGTTACTGAATTCCTACATAACATACTTGTGTAGTATATCATAAGTTGTATCGCACATACATGCACACGCACGATCCTTTCAGCTAGGCTCAGTGGCTAGTTTGTGATGTCACCAGGCTATTCCCATGTGAGTAGGGTATGAGTGGTCTTGCTCTCACTTCGTCCTCAGGCACAGACAAAAACAGGTAGGCTGGGCTATCTTCCCTCACGACTCTGCCAATATAGTGTTACCACCCAACCAAGTGTGTATTTCTTCAACTGTCACATCTCCAAGGAATCCCACACAATAAAGCAGCAGGAGTCAATAAAGGCTATAGTGCCATCCAGAGATAAAGTGTAGCATTAACAGTGTAGCAAGTAAGTTAAGCGATTAAGTGATAGAAAAAGGACAACACGAAACTCACTCCTCCAATAATGTTGGAGATATATAGGGCCACTGACAATATACACCACCCTGCCTATCTTCCACCACCCTAAACCAATGCCAGCATCTCCTCCAAGGTACAGTAAGTGTAAATAATTCTAATTTATGAAGTGTAAATATTTCTTATTTATAAATTAAAATGTAAATATTTCTCATTTATAAATTACGTACATTGTTTCAGTGTGAATAGTGGTGGTAGCAGAGCCGCCACCACCACTATGTGTACGGCTTATGCTGTCAGTGGCCCATATAAACCCAACACCACCACCAGTCCCCAGTAATGACATGTTATTCATTCTAGAGTATATATCAAGTTTCTATGTTATTAATAAGTGTATTGTTTATTATGTCATATTAGATGAATTGTGATAGATAAATAAGCTGTGGAGTTGATAACAGCGTCATATTTAAGCATTTTGTCCTGTCTCCAAACAAACTCGCCTCCCTCTTCGGTTCTTGCCATTTTGCATATGCCAACAAGACTCTTCAATAAACGTAAAAGTGATTTAAATGTTCATTTATCCATTTCATTAGTCATTTTATTTAGTTCTCATTGTCTTGTGTATGTAAAACTATAGTTAATCTTCAAAAATATGTATTTTTGTTTTAATATTTTTGGGTGTCTGAAATGGATTAATTGGATTTACATTAATTCTTATGAGAAATACTATTCAGTTTTCGGCCATTTCGGTTTTAGGCCGACCTTCTGGAACAGATTACGGCCAATAACCGAGGGTCCACTGTACAAGTCAAACTGATATCAGTCAGAAATTTACTCAATTTCAGTTAAATAACACAAATTAAAATGTCTGCTTTTCATTTTGCTTGGTCAGTTCTGAACTACTCACTTAAACTTTTTTTGTACAGTATTTAGACATTTTACACAATGTATTGATTCTTACAGGACAAAAGTTTGAATGTTGAGCAATGTACTGGCCAACAGAGGTGTGTGATGCAGACAGTGCCATACAAAGAAGTAATGCATCCCTGGCTTGCTGTCCTATGCCACCTTCACGATGAACAAATGGCAGCAAGAGCGAGAAGATCATAAACCTGAAATATTGATATATGTATAAAGTACTGAGAAAATCTCTGGATAATAAATTTGTTTTAATTTTAAAGGTAATTCTTTCTTTTCTTTATGTATTCATAGGCTTTGTACAAAGTCAAATCACTGAGCATAAGACTGTGCAAACCTGCTCCAAGAAAATATTGTGGCATACAATATACAGTGGTCCCTTGAGTTACAATTTACCCACATAGAGGAATTTTGTTTGTAGCTGCAATTAAAAAGTGGAGCTACAATGCGTGTATGATAGTAAGATGTTGTGGGCCACATCCTGGTTAACAAGATTAACCCAAGTTGCTGATATGCTCTGTATAACCAGGGGCTTTCTATATACAGTCGTATGCCAAAGCTGTCAGCTAGGTCTGTAATAATTGTATCATGTACTTGTAGAAATAAGATTATTATTATTTTATAGCACACTGGCCATCTCCCATAGAGGTAGTGTGACTCGAAAAAGGAAAAACACTACATATAAAGTTCTACTTCTACTTCTACTTACACTTAGGTCACACTACACATACATGTACACGTTTATTTATACACACTCATCTGAGTTTTCTTTGATTTTATCTTAATAGTTCTTGGTTTTTACAAAGCAGAAGTGTTATAAGAAGAGCAGAGTATATGGAGAGTAAAAGAAAGGTAAAGAGAGTGGTGAGAGAGTGCAAAAGGAGAGCAGATGATAGAGTGGGAGAGGCACTGTCAAGAAATTTTAATGAAAGTAAGAAAAAATTTTGGAGTTAAACAAGTTAAGAAAGCCTAGGGAAAGCATGGATTTGTCAGTTAAAAACAGAGTAGGGGTGTTAATAGATGGGGAGATGGAGGTATTAGGTAGATGGCAAGAATATTTTGAGGAACTTTTAAATGTTAAGGAAGAAACAGAGGCAGTAATTTCATGCACTGGTCAGGGAGGTATACCATCTTTTAGGAGTGAAGAAGAGCAGAATGTAAGTGTGGGGGAGGTACGTGAGGCATTACGTAAAATGAAAGGGGGTAAAGCGGCTGGAATTGATGGGATCATGACAGAAATGTTAAAAGCAGGGGGGGGATATAGTGTTGGGGGTGGTTGGTACTTTTGTTTAATAAATGTATGAAAGAGGGGAAGGTACTAGGGATTGGCGGAGAGCATGTATAGTCCCTTTATATAAAGGGAAAGGGGACAAAAGAGACTGTAAAAATTATAGAGGAATAAGTTTACTGAGTATACCAGGAAAGTGTACGGTAGGGTTATAATTGAAAGAATTAGAGGTAAGACAGAATGTAGGATTGCGGATGAGCAAGGAGGTTTCAGAGTGGGTAGGGGATGTGTAGATCAAGTGTTTACATTGAAGCATATATGTGAACAGTATTTAGATAAAGGTAGGGAAGTTTTTATTGCATTTATGGATTTAGAAAAGGCATATGATAGAGTGGATAGAGGAGCAATGTGGCAGATGTTGCAAGTATATGGAATAGGTGGTAAGTTATTAAATGCTGTAAAGAGTTTTTATGAGGATAGTGAGGCTCAGGTTAGGGTGTGTAGGAGAGAGGGAGACTACTTCCCGGTAAAAGTAGGTCTTAGACAGGGATGTGTAATGTCACCATGGTTGTTTAATATATTTATAGATGGGGTTGTAAAGGAAGTAAATGCTAGGGTGTTCGGGAGAGGGGTGGGATTAAATTTTGGGGAATCAAATTCAAAATGGGAATTGACACAGTTACTTTTTGCTGATGATACTGTGCTTATGGGAGATTCTAAAGAAAAATTGCAAAGGTTAGTGGATGAGTTTGGGAATGTGTGTAAAGGTAGAAAGTTGAAAGTGAACATAGAAAAAGAGTAAGGTGATGAGGGTGTCAAATGATTTAGATAAAGAAAAATTGGATATCAAATTGGGGAGGAGGAGTATGGAAGAAGTGAATGTTTTCAGATACTTGGGAGTTGACATGTTGGCGGATGGATTTATGAAGGATGAGGTTAATCATAGAATTGATGAGGGAAAAAAGGTGAGTGGTGCGTTGAGGTATATATGGAGTCAAAAAACGTTATCTATGGGGGCAAAGAAAGGAATGTATGAAAGTATAGTAGTACCAACACTCTTATATGGATGTGAAGCTTGGGTGGTAAATGCAGCAGCGAGGAGACGGTTGGAGGCAGTGGAGATGTCCTGTTTAAGGGCAATGTGTGATGTAAATATTATGCAGAAAATTCGGAGTGTGGAAATTAGGAGAAGGTGTGGAGTTAATAAAAGTATTAGTCAGAGGGCAGAAGAGGGGTTGTTGAGGTGGTTTGGTCATTTAGAGAGAATGGATCAAAGTAGAATGACATGGAAAGCATATAAATCTATAGGGGAAGGAAGGCGGGGTAGGGGTCGTCCTCGAAAGGGTTGGAGAGAGGGAGTAAAGGAGGTTTTGTGGGCAAAGGGCTTGGACTTCCAGCAAGCGTGCGTGAGCATGTTAGATAGGAGTGAATGAAGACGAATGGTACTTGGGACCTGACGATCTGTTGGAGTGTGAGCAGGGTAATATTTAGTGAAGGGATTCAGGGAAACCGGTTATTTTCATATAGTTGGACTTGAGTCCTGGAAATGGGAAGTACAATGCCTGCACTTTAAAGGAGGGGTTTGGGATATTGGCAGTTTGGAGGGATATGTTGTGTATCTTTATATGTGTATGCTTCTAAACTGTTGTATTCTGAGCACCTCTGCAAAAACAGTGATAATGTGCGAGTGTGGTGAAAGTGTTGAATGATGATGAAAGTATTTTCTTTTTGGGGATTTTCTTTCTTTTTTTTTTTTGGGTCACTCTGCCTCGGTGGGAGACGGCCGACTTGTTGAAAAAAAAAAAAAAAAAGAGAGTTCTTGGTCTTATTACTTTTCCTTTTATATCCATGGGGAAGTGGAATAAGAATCTTTCCTCCGTAAGCCATGCGTGTTGTAAAAGTCAACTAAAATGCTGGGAACAATGGGCTAGTAACCCCTTTTCCTGTAAAGATTATTAAACAGAATAAGAAGAAGAAAATTGTCAAAGTGGGAACTCTGAATGTGGGTGGATGTTGTGCAAATGATAAGAAAGAGATGATTGTGGATGTTATGAATGAGAAGAAACTGGATGTCCTGGCTTTAAGTGAAACAAAGCTGAAGGGGGTGGGAGAGTTTCAATGGAGAGGAATAAATGGGATTAGGTCAGGGGTTTCAAATAGAGTTAGAGCTAAAGAAGGAGTAGCAATAATGTTGAAGGATAAGTTATGGCAGGAAAAGAGGGACTACAAATGCATAAATTCAAGGATTATGTGGAGTAAAATAAAGATTGGATGTGAAAAGTGGGTTATAGTAAGTGTGTATGCACCTAGAGAAGAGAGAAGTGTAGGAGAGAGAGAGATTCTGGGAAATGTTGAGTGAATGCGTGGGGAGTTTTGAATCAAGTGTGAGAGTAATGGTGGTTGGGGATTTCAATGCTAAAGTGGGTAAAAATGTTATGGAGGGAGTAGTAGGTAAATTTGGGGTGCCAGGGGTAAATGTAAATGCGGAGCCTTTAATTGAGCTATGTGTAGAAAGAAATTTGGTAATAAGTAATACATATTTTATGAAAAAGAGGATAAATAAATATACAAGGTATGATGTAGCACGTAATGAAAGTAGTTTGTTAGATTATGTATTGGTGGATAAAAGGTTGATGGGTAGGCTCCAGGATGTACATGTTTATAGAGGGGCAATTGATATATCGGATCATTATTTAGTTGTAGCTACAGTTAGAGTAAGAGGTAGATGGGAAAAGAGGAAGGTGGCAACAACAAGTAAGAGGGAGGTGAAAGTGTATAACTAAGGGAAGAGGAAGTTCGGGCGAGATATAAGCGACTATTGGCAGAAAGGTGGGCTAGTGCAAAGATGAGTAGTGGGGAGGTTGAAGAGGGTTGGAATAGTTTTAAAAATGCAGTATTAGAATGTGGGGCAGAAGTTTGTGGTTATAGGAGGGTGGGGGCAGGAGGGAAGAGGAGTGATTGGTGGAATGATGAAGTAAAGGGTGTGATAAAAGAGAAAAAGGTAGCTTATGAGACGTATTTACAAAGCAGAAGTGTTATAAGAAGAGCAGAGTATATGGAGAGTAAAAGAAAGGTGAAGAGAGTGGTGAGAGAGTGCAAAAGGAGAGCAGATGAAAGAGTGGGAGAGGCACTGTCAAGAAATTTTAATGAAAATAAGAAAAAAATTTAGAGTTAAACAAGTTAAGAAAGCCTAAGGAAAGTATGGATTTGTCAGTTAAAAACAGAGTAGGGGAGTTAGTAGATGGGGAGAGGGAGGTATTAGGTAGATTGCGAGAATATTTTGAGGAACTTTTAAATGTTGAGGAAGAAAGGGAGGCGGTAATTTCATGCACTGGCCAGGGAGGTATACCATCTTTTAGGAGTGAAGAAGAGCAGAATGTAAGTGTGGTGGAGGTACATGAGGCATTACGTAGAATGAAAGGGGGTAAAGCAGCTGGAACTGATGGGATCATGACAGAAATGTTAAAAGCAGGGGGGGGATATAGTGTTGGAGTGGTTGGTACTTTTGTTTAATAAATGTATGAAAGAGGGGAAGGTACCTAGGGATTGGCAGAGGGCATGTATAGTCCCTTCATATAAAGGGAAAGGGGACAAAAGAGATTGTAAAAATTATAGAGGAATAAGTTTACTGAGTATACCAGGAAAAGTATACGGTAGGGTTATAATTGAAAAAATTAGAGGTAAGACAGAATGTAGGATTGCGGATAAGCAGAGAGGCTTCAGAGTGGGTAGGGGATGTGTAGATCAAGTGTTTACATTTAAGCATATATGTGAACAGTATTTAGATAAAGGTAGTGAAGCTTTTATTGCATTTATGGATTTAGAAAAGGCATATGATAGAGTGGATAGAGGAGCAATGTGGCAGATGTTGCAAGTATATGGAATAGGTGGTAAGTTACTAAATGCTGTAAAGAGCTTTTATGAGGATAGTGAGGCTCAGGTTAGGGTGTGTAGAAGAGAAGGAGACTACTTCCCGGTAAAAGTAGGTCTTAGACAGGGATGTGTAATGACACCATGGTTGTTTAATATATTTATAGATGGGGTTGTAAAAGAAGTAAATGCTAGGGTGTTCGGGAGAGGGGTGGGATTAAATTATGGGGAATCAAATTCAAAATGGGAATTGACACAGTTACTTTTTGCTGATGATACTGTGCTTATGGGAGATTCTAAAGAAAAATTGCAAAGGTTAGTGGATGAGTTTGAGAATGTGTGTAAAGGTAGAAAGTTGAAAGTGAACATAGAAAAGAGTAAGGTGATGAGGGTATCAAATGATTTAGATAAAGAAAAATTGGATATCAAATTGGGGAGGAGGAGTATGGAAGAAGTGAATGTTTTCAGATACTTGGGAGTTGACGTGTCGGAGGATGGATTTATGAAGGATGAGGTTAATCATAGAATTGATGAGGGAAAAAAGGTGATTGGTGCATTGAGGTATATGTGGAGTCAAAAAACGTTATCTATGGAGGCAAAGAAGGGAATGTATGAAAGTATAGTAGTACCAACACTCTTATATGGATGTGAAGCTTGGGTGGTAAATGCAGCAGCGAGGAGACGGTTGGAGGCAGTGGAGATGTCCTGTCTAAGGGCAATGTGTGGTGTAAATATTAGGCAGAAAATTCGGAGTGTGGAAATTAGGAGAAGGTGTGGAGTTAATAAAACTATTAGTCAGAGGGCAGAAGATGGGTTGTTGAGGTGGTTTGGTCATTTAGAGAGAATGGATCAAAGTAGAATGACATGGAAAGCATATAAATCTATAGGGGAAGGAAGGAGGGGTAGGGGTCATCCTCGAAAGGGTTGGAAAGAGGGGGTAAAGGTTTTGTGGGCGAGGGGCTTGGACTTCCAGCAAGCGTGCATGAGCGTGTTAGATAGGAGTGAATTGAGACGAATGATACTTGGGACCTGACGATCTGTTGGAGTGTGAAGGGATTCAGGGAAACCGGTTATTTTCATATAGTCGGACTTGAGTCCTGGAAATGGGAAATACAATGCCTGCACTTTAAAGGAGGGGTTTGGGATATTGGCAGTTTGGAGGGATATGTTGTGTATCTTTATACGTATATGCTTCTAAACTGTTGTATTCTGAGCACCTCTGCAAAAGCAGTGATAATGTGTGAGTGTGGTGAAAGTGTTGAATGATGATGAAAGTATTTTCTTTTTTGGGGATTTTCTTTCTTTTTTGGGTCACCCTGCCTTGGTGGGAGACGGCCGACTTGTTGAAAAAAAAAAGTTCTTCTTTTTACATTTAGTAATTTATACAGGAAAAGGGGTTATTAGCCCCATTATTATTATTATTCTTGGCAACACAGCCAGGTGCATTCACTCACATCTCTCTTGTCAGAGTTCAAAGGTTTGAACCAAAAGCATTAATACATTCACACTATTATTATTATAATAAAAATTACTGTATTATTACTATTATTATTATTATTATTATTATGGCCAGTACACGTGGATGGCCCTCAGCCAACAAACATTCAAAAGTTGCTAATTTTACATAATGCCCCTGGTCATTGTTAGAATACTCCTACTAAGGCTACCAAATTCTAAAAAATATAGACTTACTTGGTAGGACCTTGATCACTGGAGAATTGAAAGAAAAAATCAAGTAATTGGTGATTATGCATAAGTGAAACACAAAGTTGATTGAGAAGTACGACAAGACGTTTCTCAACATCTACTGGAACACAACCACCGCATGATGCTAAAAGTCGTAGCAGAGGACGGATAATTGGCTTGTACACAAGTATTTCCTGTTTTGAGTGACTCAGAAGTTGTTCATGAACCTGAAATAATCAGTGTATTGTTGTATATACATAATTAGTACTCTGAATACTAGGAGATACATAAATAATTTAGTTTATCTAAAATTAGCAAACCAATATTTATATAGAGTACCAGCATGTACATGCCACTTTTGTAAATTAATTTATTATTTAAGGGGAAGTACTAATATGAAAGGGGTTATATACAACTATGGAATGGGAGACAATCAGATCTAATCCAAGGAAGGGAAGAATAAGTCCAGTTACTTGGAACAAGAGCCCCTCACTGGCATTAAAGAACTTTCCCCTGCTACCCACAGCAGCCCAAGTAATTAAAAAAAAGTGTTATATACCTCATTCTAATTCTTAACTAATACTGTTTGTAAAGTTGTGTTCAGTATGCTGATTACTGCCTCAAATTATTATAAACTTAAAATAGTCTTAATATAATCTGTAACACAACTTTCTCAAACTGGCCAGAGGTTCATAAAACTATACTGTCCATGGTGATGTCATACAGCAAAAGTCTTAATTTAAAACAAAATCTACAACTATCTGAGAGCTATCCTCCTAAAAAATTTAGACTAAAAATTTTTGGACAAAATAATTACATTTTAACTATGGTAAGCTAATTTTTTCATGTGTGTGTTTGAACATTTTCCTAAAGTTATTAAATTAGAGTGATTACGGTATTTTAAAGACTTTTAAATATACAGTGAAACCTCAGCTTACGAGTTTAATCCATTCCACAACCTTGCGCGTATCCCAATCCGCTCGTACGCTGAATCAATTTTCCTTATTTAAATTAATTGAAATGCCATTAATCCATTCTAGTGGAATTCCTGCTCTGGGAGGCAGGACAAAAATATTTCAATATGACGCTAATATCAATCTAGAGCTTATTTTTCTATCACAATTCATCTACTATGATATAATAAACAATATAAATAACATAGAAACCTGATATATACTCTAGAATGAATAAAATAGTATGTCATTATGTGACAAGTGGTGGCGGCCATTCCCTACCTCAAGCAGCAGCCTTGTTGTGGGTCAGCAGGGGAGACCTCCCGCCATCCCCAATACTCCCAACACCACCATCCCAGCTTCGTGTTCAGTTCCACTTCTCTCCTACAAGCTAGCTGTGTTTGCGAATTGTGTTTTTATCTTTTAATTACCATATCTTGTATCTGCCAAGCAATCATGACACCCAATAGGCATACCAGTGTTGTTGACTTACTGAATGACTGACTTGACTTACTGACTGACTGAATGACTTGACTAACTGAATGACTTAAAGTTAGACTTTTTCACTGAAGAGGACCCTGAAGTGGTGTCTAGAGCAGCTGATGCCTTACCGTCAGTTGTATAATGTACTGCAGGGTAAAACAACAGAAATCCGTTACAGAATTTATGCACACTCCAGTACAACCATCGCCTTCAGTACCAGAACCTTTACCATCCACCTCAGCCCAGTAGGACCACAACATAACTCTCCACTCTCTTCACAATCATCCACAAACACCAGCACCCACAATTTAAGGTAAGAAATACTATTATTTCTATTGAAATTATAGTCTTAAGCTTTAAAAATAACATAATACATCACGACAATGAACTACAATTATATATTCACTTTTATTTTTGTAAGAGCTGGAGATCTAAAAAAAAGATGTTTGAGGGGGAAGCTCACATCCTGAATTTTTTCTCATATCCAGAAACAAAAAATCAACCAAGTGACTGCTTGTATCCTGAAAAACTCCTAAGGTGGGGCACTCGTAAGCCAAGGTTCCACTGTACTGTAAAAAAATTCTGTCTCCATACTTGATCATAAATGCTAACTCATAGTGAGAGAAAAGGTGTATCAAGTTGAAGGAACTCTGCCAACATACTTGTTACTGCTCAGAAGATAAGATTGTAATAAGTTTGGTAGAATTACCAACAATACATAGTAAAGGCACAAGTGCAACTAATGTGGACATTTTATTGTGGCAACGTTTACTCCAGGAGTTTGTCAAGCGTTACAAACAGTAATGGACACAGAGGTGTATATATAGGTCAGAGTGATGTGCAATACTGTGGTGGTGGTGTGTGGTGTGTGGTGGTAGAGGTGGTAGGTGGAGGGTAGGTGTCGGTGGTGGTCAGAGTGTGGTGGGTAGTGGTGGGGTAGAGTTGTAGTGTGTAGTAGTAGTAGTAGTAGTGGTAGTAGTGGTAGTGTGGTAGTGTAGTAGTGGTAGTAGTGTAGTGTAGTAGTAGTGAGTAGTAGTGGTAGGTTAGTAGTAGTGGTAGTAGTGTGTAGTAGGTGTAGTAGTAGTGGTAGTAGTGTGTAGTAGTGGTAGTGGTAGTGGTAGTAGTAGTTAGTGGTAGTAGTAGTAGTGGTAGTAGGTAGTGGTAGTAGTAGTAGTAGTGGTAGTATGTAGTGTGGTAGTAGTAGTGGTAGTAGTAGTGTAGTAGTGGTAGTGTTTAGTAGTGGTAGTGGTAGTAGTAGTAGTAGTGGTAGTAGTGGTAGTAGTAGTGGTAGTAGTAGTAGTGTGTAGTGGTAGTAGTAGTAGTGGTAGTAGTAGTGTAGTAGTAGTAGTGGTAGTAGTAGTGGTAGTAGTAGTAGTGTAGTAGTAGTGGTAGTAGTAGTAGTGTAGTAGTAGTAGTGTAGTAGTGGTAGTAGTAGTAGTGGTAGTAGTAGTGTAGTAGTAAGTGGATAGTAGTAGTGTAGTAGTAGTAGTGGTAGTAGTAGTATGTAGTATGGTAGTGAGTGAGTGGTGGTGGTGGTGGTGGTGGTGGTGGTAGTGGTAGTAGTAGTGGTAGTAATACAATATGTTAGAACAATTAACTTGCACATGAGTAAAGGATATAAAAGCTATTACTTGGGAAACATAAAAATTGGTTAGACAAATATTTCTATTGGAGGCTGGATAGAGAAGGCCTGTTTCAATGTTCATTCTCTGTAATGTGCTTGTGTATTATTAACAGGAGAGACTATGTGATGGCAGGGTTTACTGTTTTCAAGAGGATTCTTGCTAAGACTTCAGAGATGGTGAAGCTGCCTTTGTTTTCTTTAATTGTATTAGAAACAGCTATTAGTGAAGATTCAAGGCACTTGTGTCCTTTTACTTACAAGACTAAGAAATTTGAAAAAAAAAAAAAAAAAATCCAAATAGGTTGCTACAATGCCCAATAACAGGCTAACGGAAATACAATTCTAATTTATCGCATGGAAATGAGCAACAAATACAAAATGCCCCCATCTAATGGGTATGCCTAATAAAATATAGGAATTTATAAAAAATGTTATGACTCCTTTTTGTGAGGTCGGTAGACAGACCTTGAGTTGTTCCAGTTTCAAGGCATTCACAAACTCTCCAGTGTTAAGACTCCATGTCAAAATAGTATCAAGGATTTCTTCGCCAAGGAAGTGATCAAAGATTGGAGTGTGAGGAGGATTTTCTGCTGGCAAAGATGAGTGCTGGCTGCTAACTTCCTGGATACCTTCTAATGGGTTCCCTATGGTGGTCACTTTATTTCCATTACCTCCCTTGGAACTTTTCTGGGGTATGCCATTTTGATTACGTGCACCATGAGCCATAATTTGCTTCAGGTCGACCAACAGCAGAGTGACCATCTGAGCCAGGTGATTTATCACAGCTGTTACATCATCGGCAAACACCTGAAAGAGGTAGCAATGTTCATTGAACTGTCTTACTCCATAAAAAAAAAATATTCTCTTTCTGCATAAGAGGAATCTACCTTCATCTATAGCAAACTGCTTCCTCTGTGAACACCTTTTCCCCAAGTACTTACCCAAACACAAAATCTTTAAAAAGATATAGAAAATGAATGTGAAGATACAGCATACATGCAGATGCCACTGGACAAACCAACTTGGCAAGCACAGTGAAGTAATAACACTGGGTAGTAGCACCGTGAGTGGTAACATATAAGATGCTGTTCCTTCTAACTTGCTCTATGCAAGTTAGAGACAAAAGTGAGATGTGTTGCACAGATGTATAAATAAAAAAATGAAGAAAAAAAAAAGTTGGTCTCACCTGCCCCCTTAACTTGGTTCTATTAATAATGTCACACGTTTGTTGCCAGTGTTTAATGAATGACTGAAAAGCAGCAGCAGGGTCAACATCGTGCAGAGGTGAAGGTGCACGACGCCGACCAAGCGACATGCGCAATGGCGAGTCTCGCAGCCAACTGGTCATCCCGCACTCATCACTGAAAAATTAATGCATGTCATACAGCACATAAAAGACTAGTATTTCTTAATTTTTAAAAACCAAGATTTTTTTTTGTAAAGGAAGCTATGTAGATACTGGTACTTCATTGATTAATAATGATGGTATAAATTCATTTACTGCAATGGGCTTTACATAGATCTGGTGGTAAAAAAAAATCAGTAAAGAAACCTTTTACAATATGACATTTCACTCACTATGGCTTTATTACTATCAAGTACATGGAATACATACGTATATAAAACATGGCATATAAAGCACATGGGGAGATCAAGTGCTGCTAGGAGAGGTTAAATATATCAGTACTGTTAGTGGGTATGATGCAGTTACTAGCTGAAGGTATTTTAATCATGAACATACAGGTCGGCCATCACTTATCCAGCAATCAGTTATCCGGTTCCATCAATAATCTGGCACTAATTTCAGCTAGCATAATTTCAAATTTCATCATTATACTGACTCAGAAATTGTGCAGATGGTTGTAAATCCACAACAGCAAGCCAGTGGAGGAGAAAGCTGTGATGAAAATATAGATGTAGCAGAGTCTCTATTGATAGGTTAATTAAGTGTACTCCAACCTAACCACTCTATGATCCGGCAAACTCACTAATTCAGCACACTACAGGTCTCAATGGTGCCACATTAGTGATGGTCAACCTGTATAAAAAAATGTTGTACTTCGTATTACTGTATATTCAAAGTCTGTCAGGAACAATTTTTTTAAAATTAACAATGAGGGCAAATTTTGAGTTGAAACTATCAAGCAGACACTTACATATATTCATTGCACTTTGCTGGTAGAAAGTGCCCTACATATGACCCTCCAGGACAACACTGTTTTAGAGCAGGATGATCCTGCTTCTCACAACTGCTGGATCATTATGACAAAATCTTGGAGACACTGGAAGATAAGCAAAAATCTTCCATAATATACACAGACCTCACTAAAGCACTTGGCAGATATTCCTGTGTTATTATAGCTCCTAAAATACTAAAGGAATGACCAATAAACCAAGAATATACTGTGCTTTTAATTTTCTAGCAAACCAAACCCAAAGAACAGTCAAAAACCTAAAGTATTAGAATAAACCCTTGGCTCATAAAAAATTTGCCAAAATTCAGATATGAAACAATAATACAACATTAAGAAATTGTACCTGGAATAAAATCCCAAACCTAAGAGCCATTAAATCATTAAATATACAGTATGCAGATACTGTACCTGGAGTCTACCAGGAGGGTATTCCAGGGATCAATGCCCCCGCAGCCCAGTCCATGATCAGGCCTCCCGGTGGATCAGGGCCTGATCAATAAGCTGTTACTGCTGACCGCACACACTCCAATGTACAAACCACAGCCTGGTTGACCCGGTACTGACTTTAGGTATCTGTCCAGCTTCCTCTTGAAGACAACCAGAGGTCTATTGGTAATTCCCCTTATGGATGGTAATAAGTTTGTAAGGAAAATAAACTTTAAACCTCATTTATGGAATGAGCTAATAAACTTAATAGCTTCTTCAAAACCAATGAGACTAATACAGCCAACAGTATCCCTAATGCCCAAATCTGTTAGTGTGTAATTACCTTGTAGAAAACTCACAACCAGGGTTCAATTTCCAAATAAGATGAAACGTATGGACATGTCATATTTACCAAGCAGTAAATAGGTAAGTTATGCTACTAGGAGTTAACTGGATATTCTGGGTTACATAACAGGAAAGTACCAGAAGGGTTCCAGTACCAGAAAGCTGTACGACTTGAATTTCTTGAGTTATCCTGGGATAATCACCCGAAGTACAGTGGTCCCTCGCTTTTCGTAGTTCTCGGCAATCATAAATTTCGCCAATCATAGAGGTATTTTCGTATAAACATGGACTCGCTTTTCACAGGTTGACTCACGAATAGTAGTTCGTCCGGGACGCGTACGCACGGTGTAAGCCGGGGCGGCCTCCCTACCCAGCCAGTCTGGCATTGTTTACCAGTGAGTGAAGGTCCCCTCAAGTGCTCCTACGAAATATTCATAATATCCCACTCATTTTAGTGCTTGCAATTACTAAATAAGCTACCATGGCTCCAAAGAAAGCTACTAGTGCCAAGCCTGTGGTAAAGAAGGTGAGAAATATGTACAGTGACAAAGTCTTGGGCCATTTTAGGGAAGTGTTAAAGAGACGCCAGAAACAGAGCTCTCTCCACAGTTACTTTGCGAGACAGGACTAGAGTGACTCTCAAGGTGGTCCTAGTGGCATTAAGAAACAGAGAAGAGAACCAACCCCAGAGAAGCAATTGGTACCTGAGGTGTTGCTGGAAGGGGATTCCCCTTCCAAACTGTAAACAATCCAATCTCTCTCCTCCTCCAGTCTCCCATACACTAAGAAGAATCTCCAATAAAGGTAAGTGTTATGCTGTTAATGTTTCATTCATCATTTCCCATTGTATTGTTTATGTACTATATGTATATTTCATGTAAAAAATTTTTTTGTCTTAATACTTCTGGGTGTCAGGAACGGATTAATTGTATTTACATTATTTCTTATGGGGAAAATTGATTCGCAAATCGTAAATTTCGTTTATAGTAGCTCCTCCAGGAACGGATTAATTACGAAAAACGAGGGACCACTGTACAGTGGACACTCGAATTTAGTAGTGCCGTTTCTGTATGCAAAACTATTTTTATTATCTATAAAATGTATTGTTTGTTAATATTTTTGGGTGTCTGGAATGGTTTAATTGGATTTACATTATTTCCTATGGGAAATACAGTATTAACAAAACATACATTTTATTTTATTTTTTTTTTTTTTATCACACTGGCCGATTCCCACCAAGGCAGGGTGGCCCGAAAAAGAAAAACTTTCACCATCATTCGCTCCATCACTGTCTTGCCAGAAGGGTGCTTTACACTACAGTTTTTAAACTGCAACATTAACACCCCTCCTTCAGAGTGCAGGCACTGTACTTCCCATCTCCAGGACTCAAGTCCGGCCTGCCGGTTTCCCTGAATCCCTTCATAAATGTTACTTTGCTCACACTCCAACAGCACGTAAAGTTTTAAAAAACCATTTGTCTCCATTCATCCTTTTCAAACACGCTCACGCATGCTGCTGGAAGTCAAAGCCCCTCGCACACAAAACCTCCTTTACCCCTCCCTCCAAACCCTTCTAGGCCAAAACCCCCACCCCGCCTTCCTTCCACTACAGACTGATACACTCTTGAAGTCATTCTGTTTCGCTCCATTCTTCTACATGTCCCAACCACCTCAACAACCCTTCCTCAGCCCCCTGGACAACAGTTTTGGTAATCCCGCACCTCCCCCTAACTTCCAAACTACGATTCTCTGCATTATATTCACACCACACATTTCCCCCAGACATGACATCTCCCTGCCTCCAGCCTTCTCCTCGCTGCAACATTCATCACCCACGCTTCACACCCATTATAGAGCGTTGGTAAAACTATACTCTCATACATTCCCTCTTTGCCTCCAAGGACAAAGTTCTTTGTCTCCCCAGACTCCTAAGTGCACCACTCACTCTTTTTCCCTCATCAATTCTATGATTCACCTCATCTTCATGGGACCCATCCGCTGACACGTCCACCCCCAAATATCTGAATACGTTCACCTCCTCCATACTCTCTCCCCCCAAATCTGATATAAATCTTTCATCACCTAAAATTTTTTTGTTATCCTCATAACCTTATCTTTCCTGTATTCACCTTTAATTTTCTTCTTTTGAAACACCCTACCAAATTCACCCACCAATCTCTGCAGCTTCTCTTCAGAATCTCCAAGAGCACAGTGTCATCAGCAAAGAGCAGCTGTGAAAACCCCCACTTTGTGTGTGATTCTTTATCTTTTAACTCCACGCCTCTTGCCAAGACCCTGCATTTACTTCTCTTCAACCCATCCATAAATATATTAAAAAAACCACGGTGACATCACACATCCTTGTCTAAGGCCTACTTTTACTGGGAAAAAATTTCCCTCTTTCCTACATACTCTAACTTGACCCTCACTACCCTCGAAAAAAACTCTTCACTGCTTTCAGTAACCTACCTCCTTTACACCATAACTTGCAACATCTGCCACATTGCCCCCCTACCCACCCTGTCATACGCCTTTTCCAAATCCATAAATGCCAAAAAGACCTCTTTTACCCTTTATCTAAATACTGTTCACTTATATTTTTCACTGTAAACACCTGGTCCAACACCCCTTCCTTTCCTAAACCCTCCTTGTTCATCTGCTATCCTATTCTCCGTCTTACTCTTAATTTTTTTCAATTATAACTTACCATCCCCTTTACCAGGTACACTCAACAGACTTACCCCCCTATAATTTTTGCACTTCTTTTATCCCCTTTGCCTTTATACAAAGGAACTATGCTGCTCTCTGCCAATCCCTAGGTACCTTACCCTCTTCCATACATTTATTAAATATTGCACCAACACTCCAAAACTATATCCCCACCTGCTTTTAACATTTCTATCTTTATCCCTTTCAATCCGGCTGCCTTACCCCCTTTCATTTTACCTACTGCCTCACAAAACTTCCCCCACTCACAATGGCTCTTCCTCACTCCTACAAGTTTGTTTTTCCCTCCTTGCCCTATACAGAAATCACAGCTTCCCTTCTTCATAACTTTTAACAATTTTCCTAAAAATATTCCCTCCATTTTCCCCAATACCTCTAACTCTCCATTTAATAACTCTCTTCCTATTTTTAACTGACAAATTCCATTTGTTCTCTAGGCTTTCTTAACTTGTTAATCTCACTCCAAACTTTTTCTTATTTTCAACAAATTTGTTGATAACATCTCACCCACTCTCTCATTTGCTCTCTTTTTACATTGCTTCACCACTCTCTTAACCTCTCTCTTTTTCTCCATATACTCTTCCCTCCTTGCATCACTTCTACTTTGTAAAAACTTTATAGATAATAAAAACAGTTTTGCATACAGAAAAGGCACTACTAAATTTGAGGGTCCACTGTTATCATCTTCAGTTACTCATTACTTGTGCTTAGTTTCAACTACTCCCTCTTAGGTAAACTGAATAATAAAATAATTAAAACTTAAAGCAACCATCCAAAAAAAGTTTTCTTAAAAATTCTCCTCTTTTTTAGTAAGAAACCATTCATACCAGTATTAAAAAACCTCCCTTGATGGGCTTACAGTTCATACAACACCTAGGGGATGTGAAGTAATCAGATTTGATTCAAGAAAGGGAATGGTAGCTCTATTTCACCGAGGTGGCTATGGTGAAAAGCTCTGTTCTGCAAGGCACAGTACTCGCTCCCATCTTGTTTCTCATCCTCATATCTGACATAGATAAGGATGTCAGCCACAGCACCGTGTCTTCCTTTGCAGATGACACCCGAATCTGCATGACAGTGTCTTCCATTGCAGACACTGCAAGGCTCCAGGAGGACATCAACCAAATCTTTCAATGCGGCTGCAGAAAACAATATGAAGTTCAATGATGAGAAATTTCATTTACTCCGATATGGTAAACATGAGGAAATTAAAACTTCATCAGAATATAAAACAAATTCCAGCCACAAAATAGAGCGAAAAACGAACGTCAAAGACCTAGGAGTGATCATGTCGGAGGATCTCACCTTCAAGGACTATAACATTGTATCAATCACATCTGCTAGAAAAATGACAGGATGGATAATGAGAACCTTCAAAACTAGGGATTCCAAGCCCATGATGACACTCTTCAGGTCGCTTGTTCTATCTAGGCTGGAATATTGCTGCACAATAACAGCACCTTTCAAGGCAGGTGAAATTACTGACCTAGAAAATGTACAGAGAACCTTCACAGCATGCATAACAGAGATAAAACACCTCAATTACTGGGAGCACTTGAAGTTCCTGAACCTGTACTCCCTGGAACGCAGGCAGGAGAGATACATGATTATATACACCTGGAAAATCCTAGAAGGACTAGTACCGAACTTGCACACGAAAATCACTCTCTAAGAAAGCAAAAGACTCGGCAGATGATGCAACATCCCCCCAATGAAAAGCAGGGGTGTCACTAGCATGTTAAGAGACAACACAATAAGTGTCAGGGGCCTAAGACTGTTCAACTGCCTCCCAGCATACATAAGAGGTTTTACCAATAGACCCCTGGCTGTCTTCAAGCAGGCACTGGACAAGCACCTAAAGTCAGTACCTGACCAGCCGAGCTGTGGCTCGTACGTTGGATTGCGTGCAGCCAGCAGTAACAGCCTGGTTTAACAGGCTCTGATCCACCATGAGGCCTGGTCACAGACTGGGCTGCAGGGGGCATTGATCCCCGGAACTCTCTCCAGATAAACTCCAGGTATAAAGGTTTTTTCACCAGCATCAACACACCTCCCCCTTGAAGGGTTGAAATTATGAGTGAAAAAGAATTATTAGAAGATGTACTTAAATGGAGAAGAATCCTTTCTCCTTATACCATGCATGTCATATGAGGTGATTAAAATGCCAGGAGCAAGGGACTAACAACCTCTTCTCCTGTATAAATTACTAACTGTAATAAGGAGAAAAATTTTCTGTTTCTTTTTTCAGGGCACCTGCCTCAATGGGAGATGACCAGTGTGTTTTTAAAAAAAAAAAAACAAGATAGTGATTAACAAGTGTATGTAAAAAAAAACACACATGTAGGTATGGAAACATTCACTGAGGATATATTTCACCCAGAAGCCCTTGGTGGGCAAAACTTATCCTCTATAAATGACTTAATATTCACATATATTTCTGTCTTAAATACAAAGATAGTCATTAGCCAAACTTCAGAACATAAGAATGAACAATGCAGGAAGCTTACTGGACCATACTAGGAAGGTTAAACTCTCACCCACTTATACAGCTGTCCAATTTATATTTAAAGTTCCTAAAAGTTCTCACTTCAATGAAGCTACCTGGGTGTTTGCTCCCCTTACAGAGGACACAAAAGTTTCCCTTCAGCCACCTGCTTCAAAAATAAAGTTAAAAGGCACCTCCTAAGTCTAACTTAAACCGTGCTTAGTTCAATGTATCAACAACAACCTGTTGATCCAAATCATATTAGCATTCTTACTTATGGTCTAACTATCACAAATCTGTTTCAACTTGTGTTAATTGAGAATATGTTCTACCTCAACATTAACTAATGCAAATGTTATATCAAAATGTTACACAAGAGCTCATAATTTCATAAATCATAAAGCAAATCATTATGTTACTTTTTTTTTTACAAACCACAGCATTCTAGTAAAGTAACCTAATTGTACAACTGTCCAGTAATTATAAGTTAGTTTTAAAGGAGCTCAAAATGTTTTTTTTAACAAGGGCATTCTGAAAAGTAGTTTATACATGTCATTTAATCTTACATGAAATATATGAAGTTGTGTTTGTTTGTCATCTACAACTTTACTGCTAAACCGGTAATTCACAGTATCCTTTTATAAATCTAAACTTGTCCACTTTAAATCCACTGTTGTGAGTAATATCTAAGTAAAATACTTTCACTACATTATTTATATCCCCTTTAGTTATTCCTTAAGGACAGTATGGATGCTGCAGTGTGAAGATCATTTACACTTACATTTACTCAACGAGTGGTCAATATATACAGCAGTGCTTCATGGATTAAAATCCTCATAAGGCTTATTATAATCATAACTAAGCGCTAAACCCACAAGGGTCATAGCGTTGATTGTTATAAGGAATTATAGATATCATAGGTTAAGTCATCATACCATGTTACTTTCATGTATCAGTGGTTAAGCAGTTTGTAATTATTGAAGATTAAAATGCATCTTCTATCTACTGTTATTACGGATGAATAATGTTTAACATGCCTAAATAAGGAGCTGAATTGAACTTCACCGGAATTCCATTCTTAACCTCAATTAGTTACGGTATATACCTCTTCTATTGTAGGTTCATAGAATATTCAATTAGCTCAGCACCTGAGACTACTATCATACATTAAACACACCACATATATGAACTACATGCCCCACAAGACTCCACAAATGTGTAATTTTGAGCGTGAAAATTTTTTACGGCGAAAAAAAAAATGAGAAAATGAAGATCTGGGATTTAAATTTCAAAGTTCAGTGGAGGCGGACAAGTTTATAAGTGAGGAATATAGAGTCAGTAGCAGTGTGTGAGGGTAGAGGACAGTGAAATAAAGCCAAGAGACGTACTTGCTAGGAATTTATCAAGTGATATCAGCTGACAGCTCCTGATATCACACAACACAAACAAGTCAACCCACAACTAACATAGAAGTTCTTTTCTATAATTGTGAAAGTTATGGAAAAAAATCATCTGTAGCTTTACATTATATTTGTTAGATTTTCGTTTAATAGCAGTAACAAATACAGAGCGCTAGTTTAAATAATTCAGTTATTTTCTTAGATAGGCTTTTATTTAAAGGCTAAGTATATTAATAATTTTTATTATCAGTTTGCACTTCTACTTAATTGTGAAAATTTTTATAAACATACTTTAATTGATATAATCCCTGCAAAGGCTAATATAGTATTTGTTTGTGTTTTTCTCTACAAAATAGTAGTGTTGACGGCCTCCTGAGCCTTGATTCACCTAATTGTGGTTGCAGGGGTCGAGACTCAGCTCCTGGCCCCGCTGGATGTGTCAGTGTGGTGCTCTGGGACCTTCATTATACTACCTGCGACACTTATTGAGGCCTCAGTTACCAGATTGTCTCCTATAACAAGGTGGGTTAACTACAGTGTTTGCTACAAGTGGGTCAGCTGCCCTGGTGTACTCGCCTAGTTGTGCTTGCAGGGGTCGATTCATAGCTCCTGGCCCCTGTGTGTGTGTGTCTGGCTGGGCTGCTGGCCAACCCTTCAAACACCTCGTAAGTTTGTTGAAATTGATATGAAATACCAAGTTGAAGATTAAGACAGCGCTGTATGACCCTAGTGGGTTTAGCGTTTCTCTTTGATTATAATATAAAAATGAAAATTGACACACGTGCAACAGTTTGGTATTTTTATTGATAAAACGTTTTGCTTACACACACATCTTGAGAGATATTATATCAGCGCATGAAAGTGCTAGGGTTTTATTTCCCATTTTCACTGTGGTATTTTTTACATAGTTTAGCATATGTGTAAATTACCTAGGATAACCCCCCAAAAAGTCAAGCAAATTAACTTATTTCCATTGGTGTCCTTGTATTTACCTTCACAGGTAAAGTCTGGTCAGGAAATTTTTATTTAACCACTGCATAGGATCTTTTTATGATGATTTATATAGCAAATTATGTAGAATTATCCGAGAATAACCCCATGAAGTTAATGTGACATTTCCATTCAGATCCTTTTTGTAGGTGTTCAGTACACAGTATACAATATTTTTAATGTGGTCTTGAGAGTATTGATGTTAATGAGACGTAGATTACATAGAACATTATATAGAGTTAACCTTGAATAACACAATATAGTGAAAAAATGTGATATTTCCAGATTTGGGCACTACACTATTTCAGCCCTGGGCACCAGGAGGTGGGCTCAGTGCTGCTTCACTTAACTATAACAACCATAAAAAGATGGCTGCATCAGGGTCCAACTCTACGGTGAGTCAAATACGTTTTATTTGCGATAACCCTTCATGGGGGCGGGTTGCTTTGGTGCTGGTGAAGGACTCTTGATCCAAGGAATTGGAAATACACTCTTTTTCCGTGAGTCAGATCTGATTACAGTACAGTACTTTTCAGTCCCAGAGGCAATATAATTGCCTGTTTGTAATTATTTGTTTGTAGCTACAGGAGCAGAGCTTTGCTTGTGGTGTCCTGTCTTCAATAATTTCTTTATCATAGAATTTTTTTTTTAAATTTCAATGATTGTAGCATTTACCACAACCTCTTGTAATTGATTCCACTGTGAAAAAAAAAAAATCCTCGTGTCCCTTCAGCCCCTCTTTAAATTTACAACCTTAGCATCTTCTTGTGACTCTTGGACCCCTCAAGGAAGGTTCCTTGATGCAGGTGAGGGGCTCTAGATCTAGGGAATAGGATCTGTGCTCTAGTTCCCCGAATTAAGCTGGAATACCTTCCACGTCCCCCCCACAGGTGCTGTATAATTCTATGGGTTTAGTGCTTCCCCCTTGATTATAATAATAACAATAATAATTATTATTATTATTATTAATGTGACCCTTGGGGATTTAGCCCTTCCCCATTAATATAACATGAAATAGACTTATTTGCAATCAGTGCTGTATGCTTTGGGTCTGATTTTGTGGTATCTGGCAAAGTCACTAACTTTACAAATCACCAGTATCAAGGAGTCGGCTAGGTGGCAGGGTTGATTACTTGATTAAGGTTTAGGTTAATTTAATATGTTTATTCAGGTACAGGTACACTTAAATACAGTTATGTAAATTATCATACAAAGCAGCATATGTGTAGATTACCTAGGATAACCGAAAAAAAAAAAAGTCAGACAAAGTGACTTATTTCCATTGGGGTCCTTGCTTACCTATAGGTTTACCAAAATTATACTTGGTAGAACTTTGTCAGCTGGAAAATATCGGAGACTTTTGTTGATGGCTTGTTGGAATCAGTGAAATGGCTCGCATTTGTGAATTAAGTTCGAACAGTGGAGTCCTTTTTCAGAATCCAGTTTGAATTTTTTTAAAAAATGTGAACTTGCTGGCATTTGTTTCAGTGATTACACTATGATGAGGACAGTGCTAATACTCCAAATGCACAGCATTTGGAGGAGAATTAAACTAATACATAATTTTTATTTTTTATTATTAATCTCACAAGGTTAATAATTTAAAGGTGATCAGAAGAAGCTTTCTCAAGTTATTGCATTGAAACCATACTCAGAAATGACAATTTTATTATATTCAGTATATGAATTGTGAACAGTGTGGGCAATAGGTCCAGCCAATATTTACATTCCATTATTTTGCTCAAAGGTTTTGGTGAGGTGGACAACTGCTGCTTCCAGAATCCTACATGTGGCCCTGTCATTCCCATGAGTTCTTCCCCAGTCCCTGACATGATAATGAAGGTTACATGGGCTATACATATGTTGATTTTACCCCTCCTTCAGGAATATTTATGTTCCTGAAGGCAGGTCTGAAGGTCTCTGTTGGCTTCCCCATGTGTGACCCACTCTCACAATAACCTTATATGTGACATGTCTTTATGAACCTGACCTCATTGTGTGTGTGTGTGTGTGTGTGTGTGTGTGTGTGTATGTGTTTGCCTTATAAGGCAGCGTATTTGTTCATTCCTGGGTACTTGATAAATCCCAGCAGTGAACAAATATATGTTTTATTAAAAGGATCCTTTACTACCAGTGTCTTTATTCCCACTTGTCGGTTTTTGCCATTGTCTACCTACCTTCAGGCCAGTCATTAGATTATGATAAATCACAATAATTTTGCCAGTTCTTTGTCTTTGGCAGTATGGCAAAGGGCACTGTCTTCTATACAAAAGCTACCCTGGCACTTCTTGAAACTGTCAGGCAAATTAGTCTGATAAAAGCTTACTGAGGCCCATGCATATTTATGACACTGTATACTTATGTTGTATAGCTCCTCAGCCAGATGTTGAATTTAGTTTCAGTTGTACCTAACCTACTGTGGTACAGTATGGTAACTGCCCACCTGAAGGATAAGGAAAGATGGACACCTGAATTTGCTGGTGCCAGCTACTCAAAGAGAGTTGAACTCAGACCAGCAGATTAGCAGGCAGCAATACTGACTACTGTACTTGATTATTTAATAAGCTTTTCAAATCTTTAACCTTTTTTTTGCAGTCAGGGACAGAATTCAGACGGAAATGGGATAGGGATGAGTATGAATCCATTGCTCAGCAGCGCTTACGTGCAGAAAGGGAAGCTACCCAAGGTATGTTGAATGTCTTTATAACCTGTGTAACTGATTCTGTGAGAAAAATCTTGGTTATATAGTTGAGTTTACTTATCTGCCTAGTGATGGTTCTTGGAATTACCAAACATGTGGCCAAGAACTCTTCATCGATTCCTTAACCCTTTGACTGTTTAAGTCGTATATATACGTCTTACGCGCCACTGTTTCGGAAGTATTTATACGCGTAAATCCTAGCGGCTTCAAATCAAGCGGGAGAAAACTGGTAGGCCTACATGAGAGAGAATGGGTCTCAGTGGTGGGTGTGCACCCTGTGAAAAAAATCTGGGACTCATTGGTGCATTGTGGGAATGCCATCTTGGTAGTCCATTTTCACCATGCCTCGCGGTAAGAAGTACCTCACTCCTTGGCGTATTGGAGGTCTACTGTTCCCAAGTGATAGTTCTAACAGTGATGGAAGTGCCAGTGAAAGTGAATTTCATAGTTTTGGAGAGGGTGTGACCAAAAGCAGTGCCCAGGATTAAGTAATTAGTGATGAAAACCCCGATGACCCACAACCGTCCACCTCTGGTGCTGGCACATCTCATTCACATTCACCTGTACCAGGACGAAAAAGGAAACTATTTCCCTGTTTACAGGACTCAGATCTGAGCAGTGAAAGTGATAATGATAGTGATTTCAAAGTTATTGACAGCAGCTCGAGTAATGACAGTGAGGGGGAATATTCGCCAGTGAAACGGCAGTATGTTCGACACAGCATGCGTTCTGGTAGTGTGCCTTATGCCCTTCCAAGGCAAAGGAGTAAATCTGGCAGTACATCCTGTGTCCCTACACCATGACCTGACAGGGAAGATGACAATATTGTTACAATGGGGATGTGTAATGTGCGTGGGGAAGATGATGGTGGTGGTGATGTTGGCGGTGGCATGAGTCATGTGGCACCAGCAGCAGGCCACGCTACTACCGACGCTGCTGACTGCACAACTACAACCAGCATCACTCAACCCCACACTCCCACAACCTGCACAACCACAACCACATTTCAATATCCAGAACCCACCAGCAGACCGCATCTGGGATTGGCAGCAAAGTGACGATTTTATTCCCAATCCCCATGACTTTGATGAAACACAAAGTGGAATACAGCCATCATGTACACTTGGGAACAATGCCACTGAACTAGAATGCTTTCAGTTATTCTTTGATGAACCCCTGATGGACATTACTGTCAGGGAAATCAACACATACTATGAGAACACCATGGCAAATACAATTCTTTCACCAAGATCACGACTACACCAGCGAAGGACACAACTATGGCAGAGATGTACCTGTTCTTTGCCACAATAATACCTATACCACATGTGTATAAGCACACTGTCACCACATACTGGTCAATAGAATGCCTGATTTCAACCCCAGGTTTTAGTGACATTATAGGAGTAAATCACTTTTTGATACTGTTACGTATGTTACACTTTTCAGACAAAACCAAGGCCTGACAGAACCAACAGGTTATATAAGATCAGAAATGTGTTTATGTACCTGAAACAAAAGTGTTGCATGTATTTTTATCCCTTCAGGAATATGTACCTGAAACAAAAGTGTTGCATGTATTTTTATCCCTTCAGGAAGCTTGTTATTGACGAGTCTTTGATTTTATTCAAAGGAAGACTCTCATTCAGGCAGTACATATCAAGCAAGAGGAAACGCTTTGGTATAAAGTTATTTGTACTGTGTGATTGCAAAAGTGGTCTCGTTTTGGATATCATTGTGTACACTGGCAGTAATACATTGAGAGATACCAGGAAGTTATTGGGTATCGCTGGTGATGTGGTTTGAACAATGATGGAACCATATCTTGGTAAGGGGCATATATTATATACTGATAACTGATACACAAGCCTCATACTCAGTGATTTCTTGTGAGTGAATCCTGACAGATGTGTGTGGCACAGTGTGTAGTAATCGTAAGTATATGCCAAGGTTCGACGCGGCACTCGCAGAGGTGAGGTACAGGCCTTTGCTGCCAATGACATCATGGCATTTTGGTGTCATGACAAACGTGATGTCACGTTCTTGACATCAGTTCACCAAAACTAAATGGCACACAGTGGCAGGCACAATAGAGAGACCAATGAACCCATTCTAAAACCGGCAGCTGTCATGGACTACAACCTCAATATGTTCTTAGTGGACAAATGTGACATGCAGATTGGGTTTGCTGATTGTGTATGCAAGAGTTATAAGTGGTATATAAAACTTTTTTCCATCATCTTGATATTTCCATGCTAAATACTTATAACATATACAAGTTGAGGACCAACAACAAACCAAAATATGGTGAATTTTGTTTGTCAGTCATCAGACAAATAATCGTCAAGTACCAAGGAGCAACACCTGCAATAGACCAGCACCCACGAAATTACCACACATGCCATCTCGTTGAGCCTGGGATCACTCCCATACACTGCTCTATGCTTTCAGAAAAGTGCTCAGAAGAGGTGTTTTGTATGTGGACATACCACAAAACGCTCACAAACACGCAGAGACACTCGTTTTATGTATGAGGAGTGTCAAGTACCACTCTGCATATACCCATGTTTCAAAGAGTTCCACAAGCTGCAGCAGTTCTAGGAAAGTGTTCAGTGACTGTACATATGTATATATATTATGGAACAATAGTAATAAACAATGTTTTGTATTGTTTGTTTGTGTAAACAAGTTTTATACACAATCTAATAGTGATAATGTTTGTTCAGTTATTGTGTTGTAAACAATGAGTGTATATTTGAACAATGCACCTTACTTTGGTCTCACAGGCTACATAAGTTACTTAGAAAAGAAAAATATTGGAAAATACAAGAAACCTTCGAATTGGAGTAAATAAAAGAATACTGGGTGGGCGGCATTCGCCGCTGTTGCCATACGCCGCTCATTTTCTGCCAACTTTGCGCCTCTATATTTCGGTAAGTACTGATGGCAAAAAAAAATTTTTTTAGGCTTAAAACACTCAGTAAAATAATCCTAACATTTTGGTAAGAGAAAATAATTTTTTTTTTTCGAATATTTTGCGACATAGAATGACAGTTTCAGAAAGGGGCCTGCAACAGTCAAAGGGTTAATCATCTAGGATAATGGTGTATTTAATATGGAGATGAGAAAGAGTAATGGGGCAAATACCGGAACTCATGGTTGAAGCCGTCTTCTTGTACCTGTACTCTAGATTTGTTAGGAAATTTAAATTTCATCACCCTAATTTTCTACTTATTATTTTGCACAAATTTTGAGCTTTATTAAACAGTAGTTGCATTCATTTAAAGATTTACTGAAAACTGTTGTGGTAGTATGCAAACTGTATCAACCAGTTATTAATGTATTACTATTGAACTACAGTGGACCCCCGAGTTTCATGATTAATCTGTTCCAAAGAGTCTGCCGAAAGTCGGAATTCATGAATGTCAAAACCATTTTCCCACAAAAAAAATAATGTAAATCAATTAATCCGTTCCAGACACCCAAAAGTATTAACAAAAATTAGTCTTTTATAGATTAAATATAGATTTACATACAGAAACGAATGAGAAATCAAGTATAAAACAATAATAACATCACATTTACCTTTATTGAAGATCCTTGTTGGTGTATGGAAGACAGGAGGAGGGGAGAGGATGGAGAAGTCACTGGACCCCTGTCGCACAAAAAACTGTCCAGAGAGTTCTCGCAGCTCTACCCTCTATCACAACTGCTACCACCCTCTACCATCATCACTACCACCCTCTACCACCATCACTACCACCCTTTACCACCATCACAACTGCTGCCATCATCACTACCACCCTCTACCACCATCACTACAACCCTTTACCACTATCACAACTGCTACCACCCTCTACCATCATCACTACCACCCTCTACCACCATCACTACCACCCTTTACCACCATCACAACTGCTGCCACCATCACTACCATCCTCTTCCACCATCACTACCAGCTTCTACCACCATCACAACCACTACCACCCTCTACCACCACCACTTTCATATTTTTCTTCAAACAAACAATGCCACACTGACTCCTGAATATTGTGTGGGAGCCTTTGTGTTCGCCTGGCTGCTCCTGGCCACATGGACGCATTCTGTATGATGGATGAATCACAAGGAAAATCATGAACCACAAGGCTTTATTTTGACAAAAAAAAGTTGCCGAAAGTCGAAATTCACAAAGCGCGAGGCTCACAAAACTCGGGGTCCACTGTATATTCTTTAAGAATAAAAGATTTCACTGCACATATTCACATTCTTTTATAATTTCATACATTTCTCCTTATTGCTAACTTGTCTTTCAGCTGTGTACTATGTGTTCCTGTAATTATTTCTTGAATCTCATTCTTGACCTCTTCATAAAGCTTTTCTCTCATTAAAATTGCTTAGACATTTTCTTGTCCATATACATATACTATTACTGAACATATTTCGTAATTGTTCTCAGAATCTTTAACCATTTGATACAACCATTTGGATAAACCAGGGGATTTGTCTCTGAGGAAAATAATTAACTGTTTATTTTTTATTTATAAACACATTGGCCACATCCCACCAAGGTAGGGTCCCCCCCCCTCAAAAAAAAAAAAAACTCACCATCATTCACTTAGTCACTGTCTTGCCAGAGGCACACTTACATTACAGTTATAAAACCAACTTTAACACCCCTTCTTCAGAGTGCCGGCACTGTACTTCCCATCTCCAGGACTTGAGTCCGGCCTGCCAGTTTCCCTGAATCTCTTCATAAATATTATCCTGCTCGCACTCCAACGGCATGTCAAGTCCTAAAAACCATTTGTCTCCATTCACTCCTATCTAACACACTCAGGCATGCTTGCTGGAAGTCCAAACCCCTCATACACAAAACCTCCTTTACCCCCTCCCTCCAACCTTTCCTAGGCTAGCCTCTACCCCGCCTTACCTCCCCTACAGAGTTATACATTCTTGAAGTCATTCTTTTTCCTTCCATCCTTTCTGTATGTCCGAACTACCTCAATAACCCCTCCTCAGCCCTCTGGATAATAGTTTTGGTAATCCCACACCACCTCCTAAATTCCAAACTACGAATTCTCTGCATTAAAGTCATACCACGCATTGCCCTCAGACATGACATCTCCACTGCTTCCAGCCTTCTCCTTGTTGCAATACTCACCACCCATTCTTCGCACCCATATAAGAGCGTTGGTATAACTATACTCTCATACATTCCCCTCTTTGCTTCCACGGACAAAGTTCTTTGTTTCTACAGACTCCTCAATGCACCACTCATCTTTTTTCCTTAGTCAGTTCTGCGATTCACCTCATCTTTCATAGGCCCATCTGCTGACACATCCACCCTTAAATATCTGAAAACATTCACCTCTGCCATACTCTCTCCCTCCAATCTGATATCCAATCTTTTGTTACCTAATTTTTTTGTTACCCTTATCACCTTACTCTTTCCTATATTCACTTCTAATTTTCTTCTTTTACATACCCTACCAAACTCATCCACCAACCTCTGCAACTTTCTTCAGAATCTCCCAAAAGCACAGTGTTATCAGCAAAGAGCAACTGTGACAACTCCCACTTTGTATTAGATTCTTTATCTTTTAACCCCACACCTCTTGCCAACACCCGAGCATTCACTTCTCTTACAACCCCATCTATAAATATATTGAACAACCATGGTGACATCACACATCCTTGTCTAAGGCCTACTTTTACTGGGAAATAATCTCCCTCTCTCCTACATACTCCTGAACCTCACTTTCCTCATAAAAACTCTTCATTGCTTTCAATAACCTACCTCCTATTCCATACATTTGCAACATCTGCCACATTGCCCCCTGTCCACCCTGTCATATGCCTTTTCCAAATCCATAAATGCCACAAAAACCTCTTTACCCTTATCTAAATACTGTTCACCTATATGTTTCACTGTAAACACTTGGTCTACACACCCCCTCCCCATCCTAAAGCCTCCTTGTTCTTCTGCTATCCTACGCACCATCTTACTCTTAGTTCTTTCAGTTATATGTAACTCTACCATACACTTTACCAGGTATACTCAACAGACTTATTCCCCTATAACTTTTGCACTTTCTTTTTGTCTCCCTTTTGCTATACATTTTTTTTATATTCCCATTTTCAATTTTACACTAAAACTAACTTGGCAACCCAGTCTGAACTTGCTTAATTTACTTATTATGAAATAGCTTAATTTATCAAATCTATCTGTAGAACTTGCCTAAATTTAGTTAACTTTTCTCTCGGCAAACATCACCATATACATTCTTAAGTGTTTCTCATATCTACAAACTATTTAATCCAATTAAATATAATAATGTGCATTGCTTGAGTCTTATCATTTCATGTATTCCATCCTTTCCTGAGACTCTATATGTTTATGTAAATTCTTTTTCTTTGCAATATTCCTTAGGACATTAGTTTCATAAAAAAAAAAAGAAGAGAACAGTACAGTTGTACAGTGGCCCCTCGAATTTCGTAATTAATCCGTTCCAGAGAGTGTAACAAAAGTTGTAATAAAGTTGGTAGAATTACCGACAATATGTAAAGTAAAAGGACACAAGTGCAACTAATGTGACATTTTTATTGTGGCAATGTTTTGCTCTCCAGGAGCTTTGTCAAGCAGTTACTAATGGCTTAACAAAGCTCCTAGAGAGCGAAACGTTGCCACAATAAAAAGTCACATTAGTTGCACTTGTGTCCTTTTTCATGACAAAAGTTGAAATTTATGAATGGCGAAACTATTTTTCCCATAAGAAATAATGTAAATCCAATTAATCCGTTCTAGACATCCAAAAGTATTAACAAAAAATATTTTGTTTACATTAAATGTAGATTTACATACAGAAAACGAGACATCAAGTATAAAATATGTAATAATAACATCATGCTTACAATTTAATGAAGACTCTTGTTGGTGTATGGAAAACAGGAGGAGGGAAGAGGATGGAGAAGTTACACTATTGTTTGGAAGGGGAATCCCTTTCCATAAAGACTTTAGGTACCAAGTCCTTATCTGGGGTTACTTCCCTTCTTTGTTGTTTAATGCCACTAGGACCAGCTTGAGAGTCGTTGGACCCCTGTCACACAAAAAAACTGTACAGAGAGCTCTTGCAGCTCTACCCTCTACCACAATCACTACCACCCTCTACCACCATCAATACCACCCTCTACCACCATCACAACCACTACCACCCTCTACCACCATCACAACCACTACCACCCTCTACCACCATCACAACCACTACCACCCTCTACCACCATCACTACCACCCTCTACCACCATCACTACCATTCTCTGCCACTGATGTTCACTCGCCAATAAACAATGCCACACTGACTGGGTATGGTGTGTGGGGTGCCTTTGTGTGAGGTGGACGCTGGGAGGCCACTCGTATATGTTTTAGACAAGTGACGAATGGCAAGCCAAATTACGAACCACGAGACTGTATTTTGATGAAAAAAGTTGTTGAAATTTATGAAGTGCGAGCCTTACGAGTTATGAGCTATAGCTCAGTCGATTTTTTTGCTTTGAGTTGCGAGCCAAAATTCGAGTGCCGGCACTTTACTTCCTATCTCCAGGACTCAAGTCCAGCTTGCTGGTTTCCCTGAATCCCTTATTAAATATTACCCTGCTCACACTGCAACAGTTTATCAGGTCCCAAAAACCATTCATCTCCATTCACTCCTATCTAATACGCTCATGCACGCTTGCTGGAAATCCAAGCCCCTCGCCCACAAAACCTCCTTTACCCCCTGCCTCCATCCTTTTTAAGGACGACCCCTACCCCGCATCCCTTCTCCTACAGATTTATACATTCTTCAAGTCATTCTGCTTTGTTCCATTCTTAATTTCAGTCCCCATTTAAACCACCAAACCTGTTTTGTAGTTTAACATAGAAAATATTCCTGGGAGAAAAACAAGGAAAGAAGCATACTAATAATTTTTACCTCTTTAAGCTCAAAATCAGAAAGGTGTTCCTGTGAAGCGTGAACTTTTGAAGCAACGTGACTACAAAGTGGATATTGACTCAAAGCTTGGTAAGAGTCAGGTTATAACTAAACCACACCAGCATCACAGTCGGGAGGGTAAGATTTACAGCTTATTCCCCATGCTATCTTTTTATTTATGAAAGTCAAAAAGACAGATGATTTATCCTTTGTGTATCTTCAGTACATTACCACATTTATAGTCATAAAAATCAGATCCTGATATCAGTTGCTCCCTCCTTTCCACCATCTTTCATGTAATGCAGAGGTTATGGAGGGTCTATTATCTATTGTCCAGCCTTTAAAGCAAAAAATAGAGAACTGAATTTATAAGATCATAACAAGCAGTGTGTAGTACATTCATAACCTTAGTTCATGTCAAGTGATATGTAATATACTATAGCACTACATTGACCAAACAGATGAAAAATTCTACAGTTTCTGCAATTAGATATGTACTTAAGTTGTCATACTGTAATGTTATGCTACCCACAGTTTCAACGACTTATGTAATTTGGAGTGTCCACCTTCTTTAAAAATATAGGACAAACTTGAGAAGCTAAACTGTAATATAATGGTCTAATAACAATGCTCAGAGGTGCTTGTCACACAAGGAATACATTATTGTGTTTTTAATTTCAGATACTATTGCAACGTATGTGATTGTGTCGTCAAGGATTCGATCAATTTCTTAGACCACATTAATGGCAAAAAACGTAGGTTCTTACGGTGTAAATCTGGTTATTATTTTTCTGAGCTTACATACAATGTCAATAAGTTATGCAGATTTGAGTTACTAGAAGAAAGTTTATGAAAGAATAATCCATATACTTTTTCTATTTAAGTGTTGGTGGGTAACTTGAGGTCATTGTCATCAGCTTTGAATTCTCTTAAATCTTAAGCATTGGTAGCTGTGTAACATATATAAAAAAAGTGTATCAGAATATCTCTACATGTTGGATTTTTCATTTTACAGTATTCTAGAAATAACAGAAAATGATACAACATTATTGAATATAGGGTAATTTTTACTTGATGATCAGTCAAATTGTATCAGAGAGGAATAAGAAAACTGAAAGTACAAATATTTCTTTCCAAAACAGATCAGAGGAATTTGGGGATGTCCATGCGTGTTGAACGTTCTTCATTGGATCAGGTCAAAAAACGGTTTGACTTAAATAAGAAAAAATTGGAAGAAAAGAGAAAAGATTATGATATAGAACAACGAATGCAAGAGTTAAAGGAAGAAGTAAGTACTCAGGAGTACAGTAGGGCCTTGATTTACAGTGTTTTAACTTACAATGTTCCTCACTTACATTATCAGCACTTTGAAACTAATCAGCTAATTACAGATGCTGATCTGTAGATATGATTGTTGCAAATTCTTCAAATAGCAATTTGTACTCTTTTTTTTTTTTTTTTTTTTCCTCATTTTTTTACCAAATGCATTCATACTTTGTTTATGTTCTTTTTATGCATGTATAGAGAGCTCTCATTTGTTTGGTAGAGATGGGTCAAGAACTATGGAGTTAACATGAAAAATTTTCTTAATGAATGAATGAACAGACTCACAGGTAAGACCCACAAGTGGGTGAGCGGGGAAGTAGGGACAGATGAAGAATAGTTGGTGAGAGGAATGTTTTCGAGTTGTAGATCAAGAGCCAGGGCTAAACCCAGCAGCAAGGCATTGTGAAACAGATGTTTATGACGATGTAGAAAGCACGAGAACACACTGTGCTGGCTGAATCTTGAGTGGTGGGTGAGTCTTAATCTTGATGGTGATTGGTGGCTGGCGGTCAGCAGGAAGGCGGGATGGTGAAAACGGAGAAGGATGGCTGCTTCATGGTGATTGGTCAGTTGAGAGGCATTAGTTTATTGGTGGTTGTGACAATGTTTCACAACTTCCATCTTGCCAGTGTGGGATCTATTTGTCTCAAGACTGAATTGGGAATTTTCCCATATTTATATATTATATTTTTATTTTTTTTTTTTTCAACAAGTTTGGCCCCTTTTTCCCCCGAGGGAGGGTGGGGCCCCAAAAGAAAGAAAAACCCCCAAAAAAAAAAAAGCTTTCATCTCATTCAACACTTTCACCCCACTCAAAAAATTTTTTTACTGTTTTTTCAGGGTGGGTCAAAATACAACAGTTTAGAAGCACATTCGTTTAAAGATACAAACATATCCTCCCAAAAATGCCAAAACCCAAACTCCCCCTTTAAAATGCAGGGGTTTTTTCTTCCCCTTTCCAGGACAAGTCTGCTTTGAAAAAAACGGTTTTTCCCCGAACCCCTTTACTAAATATTTCCCCGTCAAACTCCAACCGTCGTTTGGTCCCAAGTACCATTTTGTTTTCCAATTTACTCCATCTAACACGCTCACGCTGCTTGTGGGGAAATTTCCCAAACCCCCTTTCCCCAAAACCCCTTTACCCCTCTCTCCCAAACCCCTTTTGAGGACAAAACCCCCACCTCGCCCCTTTCCCTTCCCCCATAGATTATTTGCTTTCCCTTCATTCTACTTGTTTCCCTTCCCTAAATGACCAAACCCCCCCCCCCAAACCCCAACCCCTCTTTCTTTCCCCCTTTTACTAAAACCTTTTTTTTAACACCACACCTTTTCCTAATTTTCCCCACTCCAAAAATTTTTTGCATAATTTTTCCCCACATTGCCCTTTGGGCAGGGGCATCTCCCCTGCCTTCCCAAACCCTTTTTTGGGTGCCCCGATTTTCCCCCCCCCCCCCCCCCCCCCCCCCCCCCCCCCCGGGCCCCCCCCCCCCCCCCCCCCCCCCCCCCCCCCCCCCCCCCCCCCCCTCCCCGCCCCCCCCTGCATTTCCCCCCAAGCTTCACACCCATAAAAGAATGTTGGTACTACTATACTTTCATTACATTCCCTTCTTTGCCTCCATAGATAACGTTTTTTGACTCCACTATACCTCAGTGCACCACTCACCTTTTTTTCCCTCATCAATTCTATGATTAACCTCATCCTTCAAAAAATCCATCCGCCGACACGTCAACTCCCAAGTATTGAAAACATTCATTCTTCTATACTCTCCCCCCCCCAATTTGATATCCAATTTTTCTTTATCAAAAATCTTTTAAATTTACCCTCATCACCTTACTCTTTTCTATGTTCACTTTTCAACTTTCTACTTTACACACATTCCAAACTCATCCACTAACCTTTGCAATTTTTTTTTAGAATCTCCCATAAGCACGTATCATCAGCAAAAAGAAAACTGTGTTAATTCCCATTTTGAATTTGATTCCCCATAATTTAATCCCACCCCTCTCCGAACCCCCTAGCATTTACTTCTTTTACAACCCATCTATAAATATATTAAACAACCATGGTGACATTACACATCCTGTCTAAGACCTACTTTTACCGGGAAGTAGTCTCCCTCTCTTCTACACACCCTAACCTGAGCCTACTATCCTCAAAAAAACTCTTTACAGCATTTAGTAACTTACCACCTATTCCATATACTTGCAACATCTGCCACATTGCTCCTCTGTCCACTCTATCATATGCCTTTTCTAAATCCATAAATGCAGTCAAAACTTCCCTACCTTTATCTAAATACTGTTACATATATGCTTCAATGAAAACACTTGATCTAAAACATCCCCTACCCACTCTGAAACCTCCTTGCTCACCCGAAATCCTACATCCTGTCTTACCTCTAATTCTTTCAATTATAACCCTACCGTACACTTTTCCTGGTATACTCAATAAACTTATTCCTCTAAAATTTTTTTACATCTCTTTTGCCCCCTTTCCCTCTATATAAAGGGACTATACATGCTCTCCCCCAATCCCTAGGTCCCTTCCCTCTTTCATGCATTTATTAAAAAAGTACCAACCACTCCAACACTATATCCCCCCCCTGCTTTTAACATTTCTGTCATGATCCCATCAGTTCCAGCTGCTTTACCCCCTTTCAATCTACGTAATGCCTCGCGTCCCTCCCCCCACACTTACATTTGCTCTTCTTCACTCCAAAAAGGGATGGTATACCTCCCTGACCAGTGCATGAAATTGCTGCCTCCCTTTTTCCTCAACATTTAAAAGTTCCTCAAAATATTCTCGCCATCTACCTATTACCTCCCTCTCCCCATCTACTAACTCCCCTACTCTGGCTTAACTGACAAATCCATACTTCCCTAGGCTTTCTTAACTTGTTTAACCTCATCCAAATTTTTTTCTTTTTTCTTTTAAAATTTCTTGACAGTGCCTCTCCCACATCATCTGCTCTCCTTTTGCACTCTCTCACCACTCTCTTCACCTTTCTTTTACTCTCATAACTCTGCTCTTCTTATAAAAATTCTGCTTTGTAAAAACCCTCTCATAAGCTAACTTTTTCTCTTTTATCACCCCTTTACTTTATCATTCCACCAATCCTCCTCTTTCCACCTGCCCCACCCTCCTATAACCACAAACTTCTGCCCCACATTCTAATACTGCATTTTTAAAACTATTCCAACCCTCTTCAACCCCCCACTACTCATCTTTGCACTAGCCCACCTTTCTGCCCAAAAGTGCTTATATCTCCCCGAACTTCCTCCTCCTTAGTTTATACACTTTCACCCCTCTTACTTGTTGTTGCCATCTTCCTCTTTTCCCATCTACCTCTTACTGTAACTGTAGCTACAACTAAATAATGATCCGATATGTCAGTTGCACCTCTATAAACATGTACATCCTGGAGCCTAACCCCTCAACCTTTTATCCACCAATACATAATCTAACAAACTACTTCCTTAAGTGCTACATCATACCTTGTATATTTATTTATCCCCTTTTTCATAAAATATGTATTACTTATTACCAAATCTCTTTCTACACATAGCTCAATTAAAGGCTCCGATTTACATTTACCCCTGGCAAACCCCCAAAATTTTCCTACTACTCCCTCCATAACATTTTTACCCACTTTAACATTGAAATCCCAACCACCACTACTCCACACTTGATTCAAAACTCCCATGCATTCACTAACATTTCCCAAAATCTCTCTCCTCTCCTCTACACTTCTTTCTTCTCCAGGTGCATACACGCTTACTATAACCCACTTTTCACATCCAATCTTTATTTTACTCCACATAAAACCTTGAATTAATACATTTTAGTCCCTCTTTCCTGCCATAGCTTATCCTTCAACATTATTGCTACTCCTTCTTTAGCTCTAACTCTATTTTAAACCCCTGACCTAATCCCATTTATTCCTCCCCATTGAAACTCTCCCCCCCCCCTTCAGCTTTGTTTCACTTAAAGCCAGGACATCCATTTTTCTTCAAATTCATAACTCCACAATCATCTTTTTCTTTCATTTGCCAACATCCACGCACTTCAGACTTCCCACTTTGACAATTTTCTTCTTCTTATTTTTTTAGTATCTTTACAGGAAAAAGGGGTTACTAGCCCATTGTTCCCGGGCTTTTAGTTGATTTTACAACAGCATCTTACGGAGGAAAAGATTCTTATTCCCCTTCCCCAGGGATATAAAAGGAAAAGTAAAAGACCAAAACTATTAAGATAAAATCAAAGAAACTTCAATGTGGTTAGATAAAGTTCTGTGTTGTAGTGTGACCTAAGGTAATAGAAGTGCAAGAATACTGTAATCTTGCTATTTATGAGCAGAAAAAGACACCAGCCTCCATCATGTAAAAAAAAATTTACAGGTTTTTGTTTTACATACACTTGGCGGACGGTAGTACCCCCCTGGGGGGTTTGCTGTCTCCCAACCTACTACATTATATATATATATATAATATATTTTATATATATATATATATAGTTATAAATAATAATATAAAATTTTAAAGTATATATATATATAAATTTATAAATATTAAAATATATATATATATAGTTTTAATATATTAGATATATATTATAATATTATATATATATATATATATATAATATATAATATATATATTATAATATATATATATTTTTTAAAATATATAAAATATATATATATAATATTATATATATTTTAATATATTTAGTTAGTAAAAAAAGGGGGAAAATAATGTTGAAGATAAGCTAGGCAAAAAAAGGGGGACTACAAAGGGGATAAACAAGGATTATGTGGAGTAAAATAAAGATTGGATGTAAAAAAGGGGGTTAAGTAAGCGTATATGCCCCTGGAAAAAGGGGAAGGTGAAGAGAGAGAGGATCTGGAAATGTTGAGTGAATGCGGGGTAGTTTTGAATTAGTGTGAAGTAATGGTGGTTGGG